AGCATACAACGAAATGTCTTTGATTTTTTAAACTTAACGTTAAGCAAGTAAAAACCGGTGTTCTAGTAAATGGATAGGAGTTGGATCTTGTGGACACCACCAAGTTTTTGGGTATAACTCTAACTGCAGTTGGGCCCATACATCGATGCATTGTCGAATAGACTCAGCTCTGCAGCATATGCGGTTTACAAAATTCGACAATTAATCGATGTACAAACAGTTAGACTGGTGTATTTATCGATTTTTATAGTGTAATGTCAGACGGTATTTTGTTGTGGGGAAATGCTGCTGACATTCAAAGTATCTTTGTGTTGCAAAAGAGAGCTATTCGCGCAATTTATAATCTCAGTTACAGGCAGTCATTGAGGGATAAGTTTAAAGAAATTAGTATCATGACAACCGCATCTCAACATATTATATACTGGGTCTACCAATAGGGATGACCTGGTTTTGACAGCTCATAGCGGCCATGTTTGATAATGGATCTTTGACGTCTCTTGACATTTGTGATCAGTAAGGTTTTCCATTTTATCATGTCACGTTTCACTTTAAACCAACTCTTGGAAATTGTCCAAAATTATTACGCAAAGAACAATGGCAGAAACATATTCACCTAAAACTGAAGCGTTTAAAAAATTTACTAACAGTAAACGTACTAAATATTTTTTCTATGATTTATCATTATACCGCCATGTGTTGTATAAGTCTAATAAGAGATTGGATATTTTTAAAGATTATTATGCCCCGTTTGACCGCAGCGGAAACACAGTCCGCCGCAGTCAAAGCAGCTATCGCACTTGACGCGCGTGTGTCCCGATGCTAGGCATTTGTAGCACCTCATCGGTCTCGCCACCAGGACTGTGATCCTGGCGCTCACGAAACCGATGAGCAGCCTGCCGGCGTCGGCCAATACTTTGGCCGACGCTACGGGACAGCTGACCCACACGGCGCCAAGCCCCCCTGGACTGGGGCGGATGGTGCCGACCCTGACGTTGTCCGCGCTGCACCCCGTCTTCTCCCGGATTACAGCGCGTACATCTTCGGCCGTCACAGAGTCGTCCAGGCCCGAAATGCGCAGCTCCGCGCACTTGGTAGGCCTGGCGATCTTCACACCATCCGTAGCTGTAAACAGTCCCCTCAGCTTCTCAGCAAATTCGTCCGCCGTCTTTGCGCCTTCAGCCCCTGGGAACTCGAGAACTCGAGCTCCCGTCTGGGCGAGGCGCATCCTGACCCCACCGTCCCAAAATCGTTGGCGAGGCTGTCCCGGGCCTTTTTAAAGACGGCCGCGTAGGACAGCCCGCCGTCAGCCGCCTCCGGGGACACGGTCACCACTACAGCCGCGGTTTTGGGCGGCTGCAGCTTCCGCGGCCTCTTTGTAGAGGCCGTTGCCACCGGTGGCGAAGGCTGGGCTTGGGCTGCTTTTTGGGCAGTCCTTCTGGCCCGCCTTCGGGACTTCTTGGAGCCCCTCGCCTCCTGCCAACCCTCGTTTGAGGGGGCAGGTGCGGAGGGGCCCGGTAGGGGTGTCGAAGTGGGGAGCGGAGGGAATGCCACTCCACTCCTCGGCGCCGTTTTAGGCCCCGACTTGGCCGGCACTTTGGCCTGCGCCTTGGCCGGCGCCTGGGGGGGTGGCTTGGCCGGCGCCTGGGCCGGTGCCTTGGCCGGTGCCTTGGCCCCGTTCCTCGGCCTTTGGGGAGCCGATGGAGTCGGGGCAGACGCCGCCGCCGTAAGAGACGCGGCCTCCCACCACGGGGAGCGCGGTCGGAGCGGCGGCCTTAGGCCGCTGTGCCGACGCGAGCGGGGCCGCACAACCGGCGCAGGGGGCAGTCTCGCCTCCAGGCCAGCCCGGCGTCCGTCCCGCATATTCCCAACTGCGTGAAATCCTCATCCTCAGCCTGCCCCTACCACCAACTCAGGGGCATTTGACTCCTCAAATGCCCCTGAGTTGGTGGTAGGGGCAGGCTGGGACGCGGACGGGGGGACAGGGGCTTCCCGCTCGGGGAGGTTCGCCTGGAAGCGGGCTAACTGAGTGCTCAGCTCGTTCACCCGCTCCGTCAGCCTCTCGTTGGCCACCTGTAGGCGAGAGACGTCGCCCACTAGGCCCTCCACGACCTCCGACAAAGCGGAGGAGGAGTCCTTGAGGGCCCTCACAAATGAGCCCTTAAGGTTTACGGACTTGGTGGCCACCTTGTGGATGACGGCCACCGCCGCTTTCGCCCTCTCCTGCACGGACACGGGAGCCTGGGGGCATTTCCCCCCACCGGCTCCCGAACCTTGAGCAGGAGATCCGAGATCTCCTCCTCCGCTACGGCCTCGCCGTCCACTCGGACATTTCTGTACGACTCCGCGTTTGAGAACGCGGAGCCTGACGGGGTCGAGACCGAGGCCGGTTTTCGAGACCTCCCTCGACGACTGCTTGCCACTTTTGGTGGCATCATTTCGCCGGACGTGTCGGTCTCCTCGTCCCTGCAGCGTCCGCGTTTCCGGCTGTCGCTTTGCTCCGCCTCCATGGCCTCCGCGCTATCCGACGAAACGGCGGATCCGGAATGCAAACGATCCAATGCTCTTCGGCTCCCAGAGACCAGAGTCAGACTGACTTCTGGGAGCCCCATCGAGATAGGCGTTCCCGACGCCACCTCACCCTCAGTGGACGACCCATCCACTCCACTGTTCCTCTTCTCCTTTCTACTCTTCGTTTCCGTGTCCGTTTGACTTGCCTTTATTTGTTGTATATTTGTTTCCGATCGTTTCTTAGTATTTTTAGAAGATTGCATAATTGATCCCACGAGTGGGGGAGAACTAAAGGTCCACCCGGGCAGAGATCCCCCATTACCCGGGCAAGCGTAAGTTTTTAACCCAACCGAGGGGTCCGCAGGTACCTCGGCTTGGAGTGCGCTTGAGACTGAACTTCCCATCAGCCATGCATCCCCTGGCCACGCACCAGAACACGGGATTCGGGGAATTTTTTAGAGAGGTTATCTTCCTCGCGGTCCGGGCGGTTAAGCCAGGACCCTCGCCCCCGATCAGAGTTGCGAGACTTGACCACAGCGCTCTTCTCGGGATTACGATATGCCGTCGGTTGACAGGGAGACTACGTCCCCCTGCCTGCTCGGTGGTAGTGTCAGTACACGCCGAGCCCGTCCTCCTTTCTCCACCGCTGTCAGCGGAGAAACTGTGGCCCCTACAGGGCCCCGCCGTCCGGTTTTCTACCGAGTTTTCCTCCTCCATGCTCCGAAGAGCGAAGAGCCAACAGGGCAACCGGCAGACACGCCCACCCTGCTGGACCAGGCCTTGCCCGAGAGCCGATGAACGGCTTCCTATTCTGCTAGAATATCAGCCGCTGGCGATAATCCTCTCCTCCAAGTGGACAAGGAGGAAACAGTGCCATCGCCAGCGTTTCCAGGGTGCACCACGGGGAGTTTTTCTAGCCTAGCACCCCTTGACACAAACCCTATACCAACCCGTCTGGCCAGCGTGGTATAGTAGGCCAAAACCTCCTTTCTAAGGAGAGGCTTATGTCCAGCAGTGGACTATTAAAGGCTGTTGATGATGATGATGATGATGAGACTTAAAAAAGTAAACAAGTCTTTTCGATGTCAGGGTGTAAGTTTCTACAAGAAAATGCCAAGCAAATTCCATGAATTAAGTATCAACAAATTTAAGTCTTTAGTAAAACTAAAACTATGTGAAAAGGCTTACTACACTATTACAGATTATTTGCATGACAAATTTGTTTGGGATTGATGCTGCTTACTACCGCAATTACGTTCCTATCATTAAAAATTAAAATTTCTGAAAAGATTTACTTACAGAAAAAAATATCATTTATAAGTAAGTCTTGTCGCATGAAATGCTGGGTCCTTCTAGCTGTAAAGTCCGACGTGTAAAAATGTGTGAAAAAAAATACTTACAGAAATAAATTTCATTTATAGTAGGTTAACACAATGCATAGTTAATCAATCCTATCCAGGTCAGTCTATGGATGGGTGACCATTCTTAACACATTATATCACGCTATGCCGTTGGTCCTGGCTGCCATACGAACATCTTTGGCAATCGTTACGAGTAATTGGAGCCCTAAAAAGTCCAATAACAGTCTTTCTACAGAACTTCGATATCACCTAGTACTTGGGTCGCGGAGGTCTGATGGCAGTCGCACCGCGTAAAAATTTGAAGTGTAATTTGAAGTATTGTAGTAGACTTAAAGCCAACCACCACCTACATAATATGTAACCTCTGTGCACCTACCTTAGAAGATTTCTCTACCACCAACCAAAAATAGAAGTGCATAAAGTTTAAAAAAAAAACAGACAATACCTTAGAAATTCACTCTCTTTGTTGACGCTAACATATTTTGAAAGATAAGATTTATAATAGTTGCCTTACTATTGGAATTTTGTGCTCGTAAATAATCGTGATGCAATAATTTCAAACTTTAAAATATACTTTTCTTTCTCCCCTCCACTATTAGAACATAAACCATCTCCGCTGTTCTTTTATCTTTAGTTCGTCATGTCATTGTGTTAGGAGTCGCTTTAAGTAAAAGTTTCAGACATGAAAATGAATGAAAATACTAAAATTATAAATATCATTTACTACTACCATTTACTGGTCAACTTTTCGATGTGCTTTAAAGTTTGCATTCAATTTACTTTTTTAATATTCACTTTTTTTTTACCCACAGTGTATCTTGAAGTACAGACCACATACGTCTGCTATTAGTAATAGTTTAAATGCCACAATATAGTATTATTAATGGCCCATTAATACTATTTGGCATTTGCAAACTAAACGTAACGTCATATACGTCAAGAGTGAATATCTGGAACGCGACCGGCTATGTCAAATTATAGGGTTTGAAATTAATCGAAATGTTCCTGAAAGTAAACAGCACAGCAATGATCTCATAATTACATAAATGTCGATTAACTTATTAATAGTCTATTTACAACTATTTCAGTTAAGAATAGCTTTGGTCTAAGTTATTAACATCGGGAAATAAAATGCAGCAGTCACCTTTTGAGAATATATTTAACTTGTTAGGTGGTATAACCGAAGGGAACGAGAAACCTATGAAACATGGGTTTTACAACGCCTTTGCGTTATTCATTTTAGTAGTATGTTGTGTTGCAGTGTACGTCTTATTTCTAATTCTAGAGCCTTTTTTTAAACCTTTGTTTTGGGCTCTACTTGTAGGTTCATTATTACATCCTTTTAAATACAAACTTTCTCAGAAACTCAAGTCGTGGTTTGAAGATCTGGAGAAGTCAAACACTTCTGTGATATTAGGCTTGATGGTTATACCTGTCAACATCGTAAATTTGGCTTCAGACACAGTTGGGCACCAATTCATAGAAAATTATAAGGTAATAATTTTTTATTATACTTAACACTAAGCTTCACACTAATTACTAGAACTATCAAACTACTTTTTAGTCACAGTCCTCAAACTGAAAGTTGTGTCTGATTTGTAACTCCTTTGTAGAATTTTTAATTAGATTCCTCCATCTTACTCTGTCTTTAACCTGCTGGAGTGTAGAATTCCCTGGTATTGTGTTAAAAATTATTAGTGCACAATATCTCTTATAGAAATATTAATATAAGTTTTAATACTGAATAGTTTTCTGTCAAAGCAATTTTTTAGGGTTATAAGAATGCAAATAAAATCATCACTTATTTGAAGAACAATAGGTATTGTTAGTTAGAGTATAGTATATGTAGATGATTGACAGATGACATGATGACAGACACCAAAATTGACAAGTCTAGGTCAACTGGAAGTACTCTATAGGTTTTGGGTCGAAAACCTATATGGTAGTTTCCGTTGACTTACTATCACGAAATTTGGCAAAAAGGAAGGTCTTATAGCACAAATAGAAGTAAAATTCGTAAACATAAAAAAAAAATTGAAAATAAAGTTTGTCCTCATACAGACTTAGTTGACACCAATTAAGATAGTCCTCTGAGTTGTATGGGCGCTCATACAATTTAGAGGACTAGCTCAATTAGCACCAACTTTAAATAAGGCAAATAAATAAAATTGTGCTATTGTGTAGGTACGGAACCCTTGGCGCACGAGTTCAACTCACACTTGCCCGTTTTTTTTTATTTTTGAAACATATCAGATATCAAAATACCTAAATTCCCTATTGAATCTAAAGTAAAATCTCAAAAATGACATAGAACCATATATATTATTTGAAATACTTTATCTACATATTTAGTATTTGTACAATGCAAAATAGCTTTAATTAAGTTTTTAATTCATATTTATTTCTTATTTTTCATTCCTAATTTCAACTGACCGACTGATTCACTGACTGATTGATCAACGCACATAGAAAGCGCTGGGTTTAGAAGCATGAAATTTTGCACAAATGTTCCTTCGGTGACATAGTTGTGCACTAAGAAAGGATTGATAAAGATTCCAGCACTGATGGTGCAAAAGGGGGGGTTAAAATTTATATGAAACTTCGTTATTTATAGTAGTAGTACTCTTTATTAAACCTCTTTGTTAAAACTAATAAAAAACATTATTACTAATTTTTCAAAACTGACCTTTTAAAAAGGAGTACAAGTTTGTATACGTAACTATTTTTATTAACTTACCTATTCCAAACTCAGTATAATTATATTCTCTATCAAAATATTTCGAATTTGTGGACAAAAGCTAGTTACTTTATAAAATTATGCTAACATCTTTATTACATACATAGTATAAAATGTAGTCACTCTTTTTATTGTATGCTTAAATCTTTTTAACTACGCAACGGATTTTCACCAATAGAGAGAGTGATTCAAGACACGGGTTTATGTGTATAATACATGCACATCATAGTTGAGGAAATCTAAGAATTTTAAATATTTGTAATGTAAAGTCGTAAAAAACATGTTTTAGTGTGCTTACATTGCAAACACTGTCCAAACCTTACGAGATAGATCAAAATAATGTACTTTGGAATTGTATATCTTAAAAAAATCAATAAAAAAATCTCTGAGATGGTATAAGTCTATCTCTCTCTCTCTTATCAAAATAAATACATTAGATATGTTGTGCATTTAATGTAGATTGTAATAGCCTTTACAGCATATCAGCATATGCAGGGGTAAAGCGACTGCCGCCGCGTTGCTCGGGCCGTACGACCGTCCCGGGTGGCAGCGTCCGGCAGGGGCGGTGCGGACGTATAAATATTGCATAATTTAAAGATGTCATGTAGTACAGTCTAATGATAATAATAGCAAAATTAATTACTCGACACTTACACCACATTAGTAGTATTAGTAGTAACCACATTGCACCCGTGCGAAGCAGCGTAATAATGCTATCTTAGCGCGTCGAATCCAACTATGTATTTTTATATCAAGAGAGCAAGCTCCTACCCAACTCTGATCCTTCAGCAGTCAGTGATAATGCCAATACTCTGATATACCTGGAAACACTACAATATTTAAAAGATGAAGACAATACTTTAGAAGCCTTGAACAGATATTCAAATATAAAAAAAACTCTTCCTTACACATTTAACAGGTGCAGAACTTGATAAGCAGGTACTCTGCTACTAAGGTCTGCAGCTGTTGAATGACTATTTTCATTTGGTGGAATGATTATGAGGCCCTATAGATGGAACACGAAAGTTGAACTCTGAACAAATACTAGTGTTAAAATCAGTGAAATAAGATATTTTATTTGTAAAAGCTATTTTGAAAATACATATTTTGTATTTAAATACTTTTATTTATAACCATTTTGTATTTTTGTTTGGAAAATGACTAAGACTTTGCATTTTCAATTTAAAAACTTTCACTTAACTATTTTTGCACATCTCTGCATAGGACAGAGACTATAGATATTTATCCTAGATAGCTTTGTACATAAATAGTATAATAAGTTGTTTAATGAAATAAAGGACTTGTAACAAAACTCACAGATGTTAATAAATTGATGAGGGGCAAGTTTGGTTTGGAATCTTCTTGGAATTAAGTCTAATAATTGACTGTAGGTTCAAATTTGAAAAGGTTTCTGTCAAAGCACAGTCAGCCTACTGATAAAGCCCTTACCAGAGGCTTTAAAAACTTGTTGTCACAATCAATTTCCCTTATGTAAGGCAGAAGGGAAATTAATTGTGATTATTCCCAAAATTATTCCCAATTTGAGAATAATTACAGTAGGGTCCAAATATATTATTAATAACTAAGATATAAGTAAGGTGAGATTACCTTACCTATATCTTAGTTAGTTATTAATATTATTTTTAAATGCTTATAAACCTAAGAAATTTAACATATTTGTAGGTAATTTTAGTTTTGCATTTCAAATAAACTTTATACAGTTTTTTTATTACGTTTTTATATATTTCAGACAGTGATTGGGTTGCTGTCAGCAATATTTGTATTGCCATGGTTGTACACCTCTGTGCCGAGAAGCTTTACCTGCCTTTTTTGGCAGCTCAGCAGCTTCATCAGCTTTTCCACCACCTTGTTAATAAGTGTTTGCAGCAGCTACATTGTAAGTAGTACTTAGTCCTATGATACAGTCTGATATCACTAGACGAATTATGTTGCTAATTTTTAAAATTCAGTTAATCTTGTACTGACTGTGAACTTGTACTTAAAAAAAGAGCCCATGAAAATAATAATAATAATTTTTACTGTGGAAATGAGATTGTAGGTTTACACAATTTTAACATTTATTAAGATTAGTTTGTATTACAATCTGAAGTCTAAATATCATGTGTGTCTCTGTATGAGTAATGCATGAGTATTATGTATGATTGTGCTAAGTGGTCTGTCTGGTGTATAAGCGTCTGCAATATGTTGTTAGGTGGTGAAATCTATAAGTGACGTCATGTAACCAAAAGTGCTTCAGTATCGTCGTAACATATTTTTTGTAAAAATAGGCAAACATTCTTTTTTTTAAGGGGTTTTAGGAACCAACACTACTTTAAAGTTAGGAAGATTGAGACTTATCATACTTAAGTTGGTATAGTAAGTGTTTCTTGGCCTAGGGGCATGACAATACACTTACCAATATGTTTAAAAGACCATTTTCAAAAGAGAACCCATTAAAAAGACTCAGAGGGGTGTTTTTTAACCATAGCTTCAGAATTTTACAAACTATACCTGCCTGAATTCTGGTTATGACCTATTGTTTAAGAAAATCAAAACAAAAACCTTCCAGCAGTGTGGTTTAACACATCTATAATTTAGATTCTAGTGGATGATATGTTTTCTTAAAATTAATTATTTTTTTACAGACACTCACAATAGTGTTGGCTTACCTCATCTGCTTATATATCTTATGGACACCAGAAAGAGCAAGTATCTTCCAATTTACATCGCAATTGCTGTGGCTGGTGATCTCAAGCTTTCTAGCCAGTCTCACAGGGTCTCTCCAAGTATATACTTTTGTTCTAATACAAGCAATTTGCATTACTGGTTTTGCTTTAGAAGTTTTGGATATCCATAAGAAGCTACTGGTGAAAGGTATGTTACTATTTTAAGTTTCGACTAATTTTAAATAAAATATTTAGCATAATCTTCTCCTAGGTTTTTTTTTTAATAATACAATTTTAAATATCCAACATTTTGATCTACTTTTTGAGGGTTTTTAAATAATTGGTTCTGCATTTCATAAATTTTTAACCGACTATGTGATTGCCTCGTTAGGTGCAGTTATTTGCAGCCGACCTATGCTTCTGCTGGGGTATTCCCTTTATTTGAGCCTTAGCGTGTAAACCTTTACATTTCTTTGAAAGCTTTGAGAGGACATAAAGGGGCAGTATTATTATACATATTCAGGCAAACGATTTCAATTAAGTAGTAAATATTGAAAACTATATAATAATTTTAGTGTGTAACTCAAACCACATTCAATATTCCCAGACCCAGAAGCATCAATAATAGAGGCGTTACACAAAGCCATTAAAAATGACGAGGTCATCGAAAAAACCACTAATGAGAAACCGCAAGAAGTAGTGCAAGCAGATGTCAGTGACAAAGAGGTTACACCGGAAAAAGATTCCCCATCTCCTGTCACTCCTGAATCAGCACATAAGAGGGGAAGTTGGACGGGCAATGAACCAATTCAAAGCTCTCCAAGACATCCAAAACTCTTGTTCAAGACTAGAACACTGTCTGCATTGCCTCTACCCGGCAACAAGCAGAAAAGTGATTGTCGATTTATTCCAGCTTACAAACATAGATCTCTAGACGAAAACTATATGAAGAACAACTTTGACAACGATGAAGAAACAGCTCTTTACTTCAAGTTTTTGTTCTTTGGATGTATGTGCATGCTCGTGTGGAAACATATATGGTTGCTACCAGTGATGCTGTTCTTTTTGGCTATACACGTACTAAAACGTCTGTTAAACTATTTCGGCGTTTGGCTCTTCTTTGAAAATCATTTAAATAATTTCAAGAGTAAACTGAACAACTGGTGGGAACTCAGGTAATTGTAACTGGCTTTTTTTTAATGGGATCTATTTCCGTATGAAATTAGATTTATTAATTATGATAATGATTAATTATTTAAAATAGTTAATCACTTTTCGTAATTAAATTACCTGAGACAGGTGTTAAATCAAGTATGTTTGTAAGTTATCTCATAATCATAGACTTTACATCAAAGAGAACAATTTGACAACCATAACTTACTAGATATTTTATAAAAAAATCCCATCTGCCTGTTAGACGACGTTTTCTATTTTATGGCATAGGAGGCATATGACACAAACGAGCAGACCCCCTTTGAGGCCCCCCCGTAGTAAGGGAGAGGGGTTTTTCTTCTTTTTTTTCTTTATAAAAATACAACTCCCGCATTAGGTACATATATTCTTGTGTTACGGGGAACTTTAAAAACTTACATGAAACGGACACTAAGAACACCCAGACTCAGAACAAAAATTTGTGGATCACACAAAGTGGTGTCGGAACCCACAACACTTAACGCAGTGGAAAGCAGCGTGGCGACCGCTTAAACCACTATGCCATCCGTGCAATCAGTCAGTTGGGCTTTGGTAATCTCACTTACTCAGTGAAAAGCAATAAAATAATTTCTTAACACCGATCTTATGTGAGGTCTTGATACTAGTCCAGTCTATTACTCATTTCACTTGACAGTTTTACCTTATTACAGGCAATCAGCTCTAATGCCGTCACATGTCCGCGGTATTGGCAAGATGTTGTCTATATGTAACGCGAGTATCCGCGAAATGGCGTACAGTTCTGTAGATACTGTGTCCACTTGTATAGTGATCGTTGGACTAATCCTATTCCTCATAGTTGCCATCGTTTTCATTTGTATACAGGTAGGTGTTTATTTATTATTATCTTATTTAGTTTTAATGAATAATATTTTGTGAATACTGAGTCTCATACTCTTGTGAAAACTGTATGTATACTTAACATATAAGAATTTATTTATGTCGATACTGTACAGCAGCGATCCCCAAACTTTTTTCTAAAATGAACTGATACCTCAGCCACAGCCGAATTACTGCACGCTTATCGTCTTGTTGAGTTTTTGTAAAGTACAACAATGATACTTCCTACTAAAATATTAGTCATTCTTATAACAAGTTGGTACATGTAACACAACTAATACAGTGTCTTGAGAGTTTGAGAACCTGTGTAAGTAATAGGGGTCGATTTTAGACCTCGTCGACCCAAAAATCAGTTTTCGTTTATGTTGACTTCTGGGAAACCGATTTCGACCCCAAGCGGTCGATAAATTCTCTACGGAGATTTGTAAAAAATCCAGCAACTCAAAAGAAAACAATTCTTCTTCTTAGATAGTGCAATAGTATAGATAGGTTTCGGCCCACGAGCTTGTCGACTTATACCAATTTTCATATCAGCCTATGGGTTAATAGGTAAGAGCCTGGACCAACATCTTCACGTTAGGAAGCTGGAATAAGGGCTGATGCAGAAAGCAGTCATTCTCGATACGGCACGTATTTGTAAGGAGGTTTCTGTCTCTGGAACCCTAACCGGTAGCTTGGTCCCTGTGCCCGATACCGGTGGAACACTATTTTTTATTTATTTTATTCAAATGTAATTCATTTGTATAAAGTTAAAAAAGAGAAAAAAGAAGAGAGAAGAAACAGAAAATAAAAATATAATTTTTCAGATATATTCGGAGGCCATAGTGGTTGTACAACTAAGCGGCAGCTTGCTGAACAGCACGTACGTTCAAAACAGTGAGCTACACGCATACCTGCCTGATGGATGGGAAGAGAAACTCGATTCCCTTATCGACAATGCGTATACATACGGCAGAGAAGGAATCTCAACAGCGGTAATTTCACAATAACTACACTTAACCTGAATTCAATTAAGATATTTAGTTAGTTAAACACGCTAACTTCTAAAGTTAGTTAAGTTACTTGAACATAATAACTTGACCCAAACGGCAGTCGAAACTAGGCAATCTCTACTATGATAACCCGACTGCTGATAAACTTACTTATATATTTCTAAATATATACATATTATAGATAAATATCACCCAGATGCAAAACAAATTTTCTCGAATCGCATCGAACCCATGACCACTGGCTTAGTAGCAAGGAGGATCACAGACCACGACACCAAAAAAAAAAACATAATTATTTACACTATTGACAGCCCAATTCTTTAACATAGTTACTGTAACTAGAAGACTATTAACTGTAACTATAAGAGTAGTAACTCTTATAGCTCATTTAGATCCTGGCCTCGAAGCTCGTGTGATTTTTTTAGGGCCCATTATGAGTTTATTTCACCGCGTTGTGGCCGCGTTCAGCTTTACGATTTGAGAAAAGTTCAGTACGGGTTCAGTTGAATTGAAATAAACTCTAGTGCGAGGCCTAAGTTCGTCGAGCCAGAGATCATGGAAGACGTTGAATTATTAGCGCCATCTACTCTAGTAAACCTAGAAGAGCAAGTCTGCCTTTGCGTTTACATAGAGAGCACGAGTATAAATACCACACTGGCGTCTGTCACGAGGACCTATGACTCGTATCCAACAAAAAGTTCCGGACGCGAGCGCTGCCAATGAAGATGCCGGTTCGGTCGATTCGAATCCGACATAACCACAAGACCGGAGAAAAGAAAAAGTGACCGTGAAATTGAGGAAAATAACAACAGCTCCGTGGTCAATATTAAATTATATTCATTATTTTATTTTTAAAAGGAGTAATTTAATAATTAAAAAAAAAACAATAAAGTAAACAAATAAAAGAAAATTTAATATCAAATACAGTAAAGAAATTAGTAGTAAACTGTTTTTATACAAATTTTTGAAGTATAAACAATAATAATAATTCATTTATTTATTTTTTCTTTTGCTTTCCTTTGGACATTTGTCAGATTGAAGGACTAGTAAGTGCAACTTATTTTCTTTATCATACTATTTTAGTTTACCTGAATTACCTATATATAGTCTAGTGTCGCTCCTAAAATCTTATACTAACATAGATCTGAATGCGATAACGAACCAGTCAAAGAATGAATCAAACAATCAATTAGCCTAAAGGCCTAAGTTCTTCAATGGAATGTAATAACATTCCACTATGAACTTAGGTTTCTCCCAAGATGTGCCATAGACCTTTGTCCTCTGACTTCCGGCATCCATTCTACCCCAGCTATCTTTCTCAGGTCGTTAGTCCATCAGGCTGACAATTTGAGAAGGTGGCGTAAAAGGCAAAAAGGGCGTGAGTCAAGCAGATAGCACCACTGCAGGAGAAGGAAAACTCGAAACAAAACCCTTGACCAACCCGTCTGGCCAACGTGGTAACACTAGGCTAAACCCAAGTGAGCTGAAGCCACAATTGTGGCCCTGAATTGTAACCAAACGTAAAAGAAGTAGGAAGGGCATACTGGCTTCGACCCCATAAGGGTTTCTTATCGCAAAAGCGAAGCGACCTGTCACATCGGTTTCAGATGCTGCGTAAAATTATTTAAATGAAACACGTACGAAAGAGGCTATTAATACCTTCTTCTTCTCAAGTAAGTTCTCAATTAGACGGTTTTTGCGTAAGTTACTCGTTATCCTCTGAACTTTGAAGGAATTTCAAAAACATTACAAACGCTAGTTATGTTCAAGCCTGGTTCAATTTACTTTTGAATTAAATATTCTATACAATTAAGGAATTAAGAATACAATTATTCTAATTTATTAATTTCTGTACCACTTTGTTTTTTATTTCTTTGCTGTTTGTAACACATCATCATATCGCAGGTGAAAAGCATCCTTAAAGAAGGCGATCCAGAAAAAATAAACCGCGTAGAACAACAAATACTGGAGCTTTGGGATAGAGTTTACCAGAGCTGGGTATCGGGTCACTTCGCTGCAAGCGTTGGGCCGCAAGTCGACGGCTCTGCCATACAGGACTCCTGGGACAACTTTGTCAACGATGTCTCTAATACTCCGGGTAATCGATTTAATATTTCTACTTCTAATAGTTTCTGCCTTAATCAAGTTACATTAAATTAGTTTTTTTTTAAAGCTTGAAATTACGTAATGAAAAGTTCACTATACGCCCACAGAACATGAGATCTTCTGATCTGATCTGAACGATAACTTTTGCCAAATTATTTAAGACTAGTATATATGCAAAATAGCACTAAAAAGTTTTATAACAAGAGTATCGCTCTTGTTATAAAACTTTTTAGTGCTATTTTGCATATATACTAGTCTTAAATAATTTTGCATATATACTAGTCTTTAATAATTTGGCAAAAGTAATCGTTTATTTAAAAAAAATGTAACTAGCCAATAAGGTAATTGATTGTCACGTGAAATTACTAATTCTAATTCGTGCTGGATAAATATTATGACGTCACATGTTTCTCATACTAATTCTAATTCGTACTGGATAAATATTATGACGTCACATCGTCAGTTGTCATCAAATTATTAACATCTTCCATCCCGACTGCCAACTCTAGCACCGCGAGCGCTCAGTGGTCAAATCAAATAGCGTGAGCTTTCCTGTCTACTTGTACCCACTTCATCTTTTTGCACTTCTTTCCCTTAACACAAAACTAAAACAATCCTACGGATTACAAAAAAGCCTGAGGAAGAAGTGTACATCAATAAAAAGAAAAAGTCTAGTCTGAATTTCATGTAATCAAATTATTCCTTTACCAAAGAGACTTCCACAAAATGGTGATGTTGCGCGACTACATGCAACGACCTCCTCCTGTTTGATTCTTGACTTTACTGTACTAACTAATGCTAAGATCTACTCCAGTTACTTGAGCAGTTTCTCTATCACTCATTAAATGCTGTTTTTCATTTTAAATAATAGTGTAAATGGTATACCACCAAATTGATCGTAAGGCTTGTAATTGTAGTCGTTGGACCGCCAACGATAATTACACTAAGCATTACAGAATTGTAATTTAAAGACTAAACATGTCTGAGAGCAATAATCACTTACACGTTAACATACCACAAGCACTCTAAATAACGGTTATAAAAGTCAAAAGCAAAGTTCATGGCTTGATAAGGGACTATTACTATATTATATTTTATTTATTATTATGATACTAAATGAAATTAATCAATAGTGTTCTCTCTGTTCTATTAATTAGCAGGATTTTGATGAGTTTTTTATATCGACAGGTACGTTTGATTATTCTGGTATAGTTAGCTGGGTACAAGCCAACCTGGGCACGTTGAGTGCGATAGCTACAAGCATATGGGCGCCACTGGCGAGCAACGTGTCACTGTTGGCGGGGTCAGTCGGCGCACTCACCTCTCTCCTGCTGTGTGGCGGCAGTGCTCTCATCAACATCTTCATTAATTTGGTAATTATTGTGACGTTTTCTTCTTTTGTGTTGGCGAAAGTGCATAAAGGACGACAGGCTCTTAATAATATTACTTCAAAGCGAAAACACCGTCATCGTGGTAATGATTCAGTATCCCATGTCCTGGACCCGTTAGCAAGGCCCTTACCTAAAAAAGGTAATATAAGCAGGCGCACAGGGTTAATGGAGAGGTTCTAGTATCAACAATATTGCGTCTCCGACGAACTTGGTAGACGCAAAAACTTCTGCCTTACTTATCTTGCCATGGAATATTAGATCCCATTATATTCATCGTATTAAACCGACCCGAGCAGTCACTAGGCCCAGGACCTACGCTATATGTATATCTTTATTATCATTATAAAAGTAAAGAGTTTGTTTGTTTGGTTGAAAGTGTTAATCTCAGGAACTACTACTCGTACTAGTAAAAATTATTTTAGTGTTGAATATCCCATTTATCGAGGAAGGCTATATAACATCCGGCTAACACCTGTAGGAGCAGAGCATAAATTAAAAATTTACAAAAAAATATTCCTTTCGAGATATCTACATCTAGTAAAGATATTTAATTGATTGTTATGATGGTGCCTTAACAAGTTTATAAATAGTGTAGTCATGCGACAAGACAGACAAATTAACAACGCCTCACGTTGTTAATTTGTCTGTCTTGTCGTATTGTATTTATAAACTTGTTAAAAAAAACAATCCTTAGCATGCATCAGATCAGTACACTCTTTGGCTGTGATTGCCTGTGCTATGCTTAGTAATATTAATGAGACGGTTACAATTGTCCGTGTGGTCACAGAGCCGACTACGTAGGACAACAGCACTGCAAAGAAATGGAAAACTTGACACAAACCCTTTTACAAACCCGTCTGGCAAGCATGGTATAGTAACCCAAGACCTCTTCTAAGAAAAGAGGTTATGACCAGCAGTGAACTATTAAAGGCTATTGAAGAATTACAGTGGGTCCAATTATTTTCCCAGGTGGTGTTCTTTACAACATTATTCTATTTGTTAGCGTCCAGCAATGCTCTGTACAAACCGGTCGAGGTGATCACACAAGCGCAACCAAATTTTGGACCCAGGGTCGGCATTGCCCTCTCTGTTGCTATCAATCAGGTAATCGGAACATATACTTATCTATACTATTTTTATAAAAATATTTATATGATCTACAAATATATGCTTCGAAGTTTTCTATGTATTTACATAAGTATTCTATCGGTCAATCTAGCTTTCATTGTACAAGCTCTGCTTAGTTTGAAACTAGATGGCGTTGTGTCAAATATCCAAAAATATTATTATATATACTACGTGAGGGTAAGTAGATAGGGGCCTATGTCCAGCAGTGGACTGTTATAGGCTGTTGATGATGATGAACATATTTACATATTCAAATGATATAATTGCGAATTCCTTTTGTCGCCATTACATGATTAAAAGCATTTTAAAGCCAGCCTAAAAAGTCTATTAATAGGTACGTATCTACGCGTGTACGTATTTAGCGCGAATATTATTACAATACTGACCTTTGATAATGTAATCTTAATGAGTTAGCAAAAAGTTTAAATACAGAAAATCATAAAAACTTAAATATAAACTTATAGCAGAACAAAAAAAAAACACGTTATGATGCAGTTAAAACTCTTAACCAGTCAAATGTACTTTTTACTAATAAATTAGTCAAGTGCTTAACACTGCTGGCATAGACAGATTGATTTTATTAGTAGAAAATACTCTTGACTATGTTTTTTAAAGTTCTTTTGTGTATAGTTTGAGGCTACATATTTGTTTTTCATAATCTAACTTTTCTATTTAATTATACTATTAGGTGTTTTTATTTGCGGTTATATTTTTATGCTATAGTGTTAAAAATACAGTGGTGAAAAGTAATTTGAGGCCATCCTTTATGAAAATTATTACATAGATTAACCAATAAATTTAGGCTAAGGATTTTGACAGTAACATACACAACTTAATTTTAGCGAGATTGTGTTCTAATTTTGATAGGCATAAAGGTTATCTGTGTAGCTCTAAATGTGGTAAAAAATAAGTAGTTATGAACCGCTAAAGTTTTGTTTCAATAATTCAATTATTGTTTCAATAATATATTAGTTACATCAGGCCTTTGTAGATGATGTAAAACTATATACTCGTAGGTCCAGTACAGTCACAAGGTCAATTCATTGAATATTTGTAGCCATTATTTTATTCGTACTAATATAATAATAACTTCACACATCTCTCTCACGGCCGTCTGATCCCAAACTAGACAGAGCCTGTGCCATGGTAATAAGACTACTGATAAACATACTTTTATATTTATAAACACTTCAACATACACTTCAACACATTCTAAACATTTCTAAACTAAATAAAGATAACATATACCCAGACGCAGAAGAAATGGTCGTGCTGATCACTCAGGCTAGTCATTTTATTCAAATTCAATTATTCGTATAGTTTTTGAACATAGCATTTTTTCCGCAGGTGTTCAGGGCTTCCTTCAAAATGGCACTATTCTACGGTTTGTGGACGTGGCTAGTACACAATTTGTTCGGCGCCAAAGTTGTGTATTTGCCATCAGGTAAGATTCTAACTATACCATTTATCTTTTTAAAGTTATCTTAAATATTAATCTTTAATACTAGACTACTTTGTCAAACTTAACATCTTCCTTTGCATATGACAGTGAACAGAGTTGGCACATGGTATGGGCCAACTCCAAAGGGGCATTAAACTGACACTCAAAGTTATTTTACTATGATAACTTTCATTGAGATCAACTGGTCATTCTGAGGTCTACAACCCGAAAAATACTATAAATACATGCAAAGTGAATTCTCTGCCCTCAAAAGAACATTACGTCTTAAATGGAACTTGCTTCAATAAGTCAGCAATTTGGTACTGTTCGTGAAGTTAATAAACCAGTAAAGTTAAATTTTACTACAAATAATCACTTAATATACAGGTAGGTACAAAGCGTTTCACAAAAAATGAAATAACAAATAACACTGTTTAATATACGTCGGTTAAAAAAAAACTTTTTTCGAAAATTGGCATCGACTTCACTTTGCTCCATCACCCATTGAACGAATTGCCGGCGCTTTCCATTTTGTGCTGGTTTGAACTCCTAAGTTAGCTGAATCTTGTACGCATGAAGGTTGAGGTCTTTTGTCGAAATTCGCTGGGTAGTGCTTCGTGAAATTTGAAGTTATTGAGAACGATGCCGAATTTATATTTTCGGGTTTTCAGCGACACTTTATTTTACAGCAGCAATGTTTTCAAAAGACCGACCGGCACGTTGACGCAAAGGATTCTTAATATCCATAATCGACCCAGTTTCTTCAAATTTTTTGACCACTTCGTATGGTTGACACATTAGGTGCACTTTCTCGACTGAAGATTTGGCGAAGTTTGCGAGCTGTTTCAGCGTAACTTTTCCCATTATTGTAATGACTTTCACAATTATAACGAGTTGTTCTTTCGAAAAGTGCTCCATTTAATTATTCTAAATTTAAAAAGTGTACTCTTACTGAGACACCCTTTATTATGACTACATTTACACGTGATGTTGCAAATTACGAAAACAAAAAATTGTCTTAAATATTATTTGTTCATATTTTGCAAATCGTCTATAAATAAAGTGCAGAATATCTGTTCTAAAGATTCGTCAAAACGTTGTATAAAAAAAACCTTAAACTTGCCAATAATATTTAACAAACATTGATGTAACTGTTAGTCAATATACACACAATATCATGTATGTAATAACAAACTTAGTATGTTACTAAATAGAGACTAAATGACATAGTATAACTATCAAAACTTTGTTATCTAACACACTATAATTTCACACATCCCACACACGGCCGTCTGATCCCAAACTAGGCAGAGCCTGTGCTATGGTAACCGGACTACTGACTGATAAACATACTTAAATATTTCTAAATACATACATATTATAGATAAATTCCACCCAGACACAGAACAAATAACATAATACAATAATACATACATACATACATACAAATACATAATAACATCACACAATATTTGTCCTAGGTGGAAATCGAACCCACAACCTCCAGTTTAGCAGTCAGGGTCACTAACCATTACACCAACAGTAGCTGTAGATAATTTTAGTAATGTGTAATTAGGGCTGCTTCAATAGAAAATGATAAAATGGTAACATGTAAACCAACAATATTACTAATAGTGATGTATCTAACTAAATATTTTGAAGTGAAAACTTCTTTAGGCGCGTTGGGCATTTTTGAACAATAAACATAAGTATATTTTTTGAGATGGGAAAAAGCCATTGAACTCGCGACACTGTTACCGTTGCCTCTGTATATAAGTGCCTACATATATTGGCCCCGTTTACACGAGACTTGAGTTTGGCTTGAAATACATTGATAATATAACTATATATAATATAAACATAAATTATGGAAATACGTACAACATAGAAATATATTCTTGTCGAAACTTTTCGAATCTAAAAAAACTTTTTTTTTTCTGTCATCACAAAAAAAGTTTTTACTTCTGTTGGCACTCCCGGAGTGTCACTGTATTTTTATTTATTTATAACTTTATGCACTTTTGTACATCGGCGAATTCTGTTCCAGTCAACCTTTACGTGTTGTAGAAATCGTGAGTTGTAGGCGCATATAGGTTATAATACTAATCAACTAAAATATACACTATGCATATAAATGGATATGCAATTTTATCGTAAGAAAATACTCATAAATTTAATAAATGGTTATTATATTATAAGCCCAAAATCGATCTAAGTGGCGAGCAATGGGAGAGGCCTATGTCCAGCAGTGGACTGCGATAGGCTGATGATGATGATGATATTATAAATACGTCTGTGGACCTAATTATTAAAATAGAAATAAGAGCCTATTTAAGAGCACCCCTAACCGGCGCGGCGAGCATGAAGTGCCTGTTTTTGATGTGGATGATGAATGTTAGAGTGAGTATGTCAGGATTGTCCCAAATAGCATTCTATCGTCTCCATTACATAAGACGAGAATAAAGCGGACTTACGCATATAATCATATACCTAATAAATATTGTAACGACTTCATATAGAGACTTGTATACTATCTTATTAAAAATATGTTTGAAATTATGTGTCCATAGTACAAATTCTTACACATAAACTTAAAGTATGTATAAAATATATCTACATCTGTTTTAATATCTATATAGCTATTAGACCGCAATTGTTTTATCTTGTTAATGGTTTTTATTAATCTGTCATAGCAATTGTTCTCTACGATCAATAAAATATTAGAAAAAAAAAGATTAAAATTAAATCATCAATTTTTTTTTTTTATATTCTATCAAATAAACCATTTTTTTAAAATCGTAGCTATATATTTGTCAAACATTTATAATACAACAAATAATTTCTGCCTCTATATTTATTTATTAATAAGTACTACCTCATCATACATATATTACTTATAATTAATTTTGAAGTATTATATGTATGACAATGTACTTATTTTCACCCTTTAAGTTCATCCATATGAAAATGCTTCCTGCAAACAACCAGACTACCGCCCCTAGAATCTAGCCTACCCGGACAGATACTTTTTTAACCTTAGCGTTAATATGACTAAGTATATAGAGAAATATGGAACACAAATATAGATACTTCAATAAAAATAAAATCTAATATACCGATACAACAATTACAGACGGATATTAAAATTATAACATGCGACTTCTGGTGAGTCAGTCAACTTTTCGATAAAATTTGATAATATAATATTCATTAATTGTCTACGTCGCTTAGGAATTATCACGGGATGATGTTCAGTCGAGTCTGTTGTATTTTTATTACGAACGTGTTATTGTGCAAATGAAAACTGTGTTAAAAATACAATAAAAAAAGTATAAAGCTCTAACGAATTATGCATTAATTATGGCCCACGGTAATATTCTGTTGTTCACTGTACTTGTGCAGTCTGCTTTAAGTGTAAGGATCAATTTCACCAGCTGCCAGAGCCCTCAGTGGTCTTGTGTGAATAATTTGCCAAATGAAATTGTCTATAATTGTGCCGGTCTCAGGAATAATGTAAGTATTATTTATTTTTGGCTATATTTCTATTGAGAATACAGTTATGTTAAATGAATTTATCCTCTGAAATACTTGAATCTGCATAGAAATATCCTATATTCTTATAAACATACTGACTGACACTGTTATAAATTTGTAATTTGTTGGTGAAGTGCCTATTAAGCGAACTTTAAATATCCAAAAACAAATATTTTTCCAAAAGATATAGAACTTAATGTTTTTGTCACAAAAAGTTTATTAGTTTAAAAGATTTAGTTTTTGCAAGGTAGTGTGCATTCTCAGAGAAAGGATATATGATTGTTATATAATGTCTATATAATTGTTGGTTATATAAACATTTATTTCTTCCGAATTGTTCAGTGTAATTTTTTTCTAATACGTCTTTTAAACATGCTCAATCGTATTGGTGCATGTAGATTATTTAATTCCAGGCAACTGTAATATTTTACTATAAACTATTGACTCAATACAGTTTTTTCGTTTAAATCAACAATTAATCGTTACTATCATCGTAAATTTTTGCGTTAACTATGTAATAATTTAACTTTCGTATTGTTTTAGGACTTCATAATACACCTAAAAGATTTCTATACTGACCAAATAACGAGTGTCACAGTACAAAACTGTAGAGATTTGCGCGTCGTTCTCGATTGCCCTATACTGCAGAGACCATCACAGCTACAAGCATTTAACATTAAAGGCTGTGAAAGACTCGAGTTTGTGTCACTATCGAGCCACTCATTACTACAAACACCGTCCGAAGTGACCATAGAAAATGTAAAAGAAGTTGTCTCGTTACCAAAAGGAATATTTAAATCTCCCTCAAGTTCCACTGAACTAAAATGTGCCGGTGCTTCAACATTAAAACAAATAAGAATCGTCAACACCAAAATAAATACAATTAACACTAAAGCATTTTATAACATGACTGGTATAAAAAATATTAAGATTGATAACGTTACTATAACTAATGTACGTAATCAAGCCATAGAGGCTATTATGGGCTCCGATACTGTTTTTACAATTACAAACAGTAGAATAGATAATTTGGAATCTAAAGGAATTGTAGTACTAAGTAACACCGTGTCCATAACTGAGAACACGTTTAACGATGTAGGCAGTGGCTGTATAAATATCACTGCGGATAATGTTCATATTGTTGGTAACAGCTTTAGAGAAATAGGGCCAAGTGGTCTCGCTCTCAAAGCTGTAAAAATCAATATTACTCAAAATAATATAACCAGACTAAAAACCAATGCTTTAAACAGTGTCAAATGTCTAAGAAAGCGGACAAATAAGAAGGAATTCACATTCTCCAAAAACAAAATTGAAATTATAGAACCCCACTCTTTAACTTTCGGTTACACCAGTTGCAAATTTGCTGGCACTGCAATCAACTTTAATAACAACAAAATGGATTGCGTTTGTCAAAACATAGCTTTTCTAAACACAGCAAAATCGAACACTGAATTACATAACGTTATTCTAGATCCTTTGAACAATAACACTTGTTGGTCAGCGCCTTGTACGCTACCAGTAGATATAGTAAAGATATTGATGGAGAGTGAAATGTGCCAAATAGCGCTCGATCCGCAAGTCATGTGTTTGCTGTACAGCGACAAACATTTGAAAAACGAAATCACGGCTGATGAAGAAGTCACAGAGCCTACACCCACGTTCTATTTGATACGACAGGCAAATTCTCCTAATGGTGATGCAAGCGCCGCGCTAACAGCCGTTGACAAAGACGATCTCTTAAAAGACAGTCATTTGAACATGACTAATAGAACTGTCATCAAAGTTGTGTTTGATTCGTCGAAGGATTTCGTCGAGACGTTAAGGAGTACGAGTTCATCACACAAAAGACCAGTTGAGGAATCAAAGACAGCTCCCAGAGAGGAATACGTGAACCGTTGCGTAGGTTCACAGTGTAGAAATAATTTTGCGTATGATAAACAAAAAGCTCTTGACTTCTACAAGTATGTGTACGCGCAACTAAGACCACCGAGACTGACTGACAGCATAAAGAAGAAAACTTGATTATTTTTACATTTATTAATAAATGTTATTTCATTACTTATCGTTTCATTCTGACTTGCACGAGTTTATAAGATTGTAACAATATACTAAGTACGTATACGTTTATTTGTGTTAGCATCTCTTGTTTATACTTGAAGATAATACGAGCCAAGTGAAGTACAAGATAATATGGCTATATGTGAATTAAAGGCGCGTTAGGAGGGCAATCAAAAAACGATCTTAAAATTGTAGTTGAAGAGCCTGTTCTCCCATACATTTCAACTGAAAATGTAAATTTGTAATATTGAGAGATTTACCATGTTATTTTATGACCATATTCTTCTCTTGAGTTCTCCGATGACCTATAGGCACAGAGATAGGTTTTGTCTTATTTTGCCAAATTTCTGCTAAAATTTTGGCTTGGCGTCGCGGTAAATTTTCTACTTTTATACATCTAAGACCACTACGAAAAGCCTTCAAACATTTGCGGAATGACTTTAGTCAAATCTTACTGAACAATAATTTTATTACAGTACTTGCTGCGGTATTAGGAGCAGCACCGTTCTTAGGTCCGTACTTGGCTGGAATACCGGCTGCATTAGACGTGTGGTTACAAGGAAGGCCTATGGCGGCTCTTCTGCTGCCCATTGTGCAGGCCGCTCCTATAGCATTCCTTGACGCAGCTGTATACGCCGAAATAAAAGAGTAAGTTTATTTCTATCACTCTTACTGCTGCAATAGGTGTAGAAGAACGAAGACGTCGTCCCAAAAATGAACAACACAATGAATAAGCATAACCCAAAACTTCTGACTCGGGAGGAACGAAACGAACGAAAGATACACGATTATGGTTACACCATATTATAAAAGTTAGTTTTGCTGTTTTAGTTTTCAACTTTCGTAATGTTAATTCAACTAAATTATATATTACAGCGGAGGTCATCCTTACGTGACCGGCCTAGCTATTGCGGGCGGTATATTCTATCTGGGCCCTGAGGGTGCGATTTTGGGGCCCCTGCTACTTTGCTGCTTAATGGTAGTGTTGAACCTGTCGTCCACTTTTTTGCGTGATACGCCGTCTGAAGAGCGCGCAGCTCTGCATTCACGCGTCAGGTAAATCAATGGTTTTTACGATTACAGGAGCATACCATAGCATAAAAAGTTATCGTTTGAAGTAGGCAGAAAGTGGTACATTAATACCTGAAAGAAGGAGACTGTACATTCAACATAGTATAAATAAAGTATTGCTTGAAACAAATATATTATTGTCTAAATATTTACAAAAAAGTTTTCTATCAGTCAATCTAACTTTCGTAGTACAAGCTCTGCTTAGTTTGAAACTAGATGGCGTTTTGTGTTCGACGTCCAAAATATTATTAGCAATATTAAATTATTAATTTTCATCAAAAATCTAATTTTTTGTGCTATGGTAAACAAAGCAACTATGTACAAATCCCGTTTGTGTTTTGATTTTGAGTGAATACCTGCTCCATTCATGTTTTGGATTTTGAATGATTTGAACTTTTATTTTGAGAATATGATCTTTGATATATATATCTATAACTACATATGGACGGGTAGTTGTTAAAATATACAGCTGTATTTTTTAATACAATGATTATGATTTTTTTTAATAAACTATGTTAACGAATAATAAATTCATTTCAACTTATTTATTTATTCTTACACTATCCTCGAATTCCAAACAAAATCAATAATATAAGATTGTTTTAATGTACCTCACAAAATGATTTATCAATTAAATGTAAGAAATTATTGAATCTTCTTGTCCTGTGCACAAATTACTTATTAAAACAATATTTATCTTAAGTATCATAATTATAAATACTCTGTAGTACTGTATACTTATTACTTGTCTGATGTTTTTTAACGTAGGTCATTATTGGGAATATTTTAAGATAAGGTGTGTATGTGTTTGACCTATGCCTTGTATATTTTATGTTATGCTCGTGTATAGACATAGAAAGCACCATAAATACCTATTGTTTGATTTATGCCGAGTTTCTGAAGATCTCTGTAAAATTCCAGTCAACCGTTAATTATTAAACTTAGGTTAACTATCCGGCAATCATCAATCAATCAATCAATATACAGATAGGGAGAGAAGCGATCCGGGGACGTTGGTAGAAAGAGAAAGAAGACGGCGATACTTCTTAATTTGACGGGTTAATCACTTTCGATACATGAAACGTGTCAAAATATGCAATTACCTATACATAAATAATCCAATTGATTTGAATTTACGGCGGGAAGTGTTATACATTTCTTCAGTAAAACGGAGGCGGATAAATAATAAAATATAAAATAATAATTTAAAAAAGTCTTTCAGACATTTCGAAAATATTCACGAAAAAAAAATGGCGATACGGAGTTAGCCGGGTCAGCTCATTGTTTAATAAAATTAGATGATCAGCCAGTGTTTTAATAAATTACATTATACTTGTTCGTTTACAAACTTCTTAGTTTATTAGCAAAGATCATGATTGGTTGTAAGTTTGCTTAAAATAAAATTATAAAATTTATAAAGTGTTAACCTAAGTTATAAAACCAAAGTTATCTTTTGATGTTGTGTTTGGAAACAACTTCTTTAGTTGCCGTAAGATATCGCTAAAACAAGAAGTTTACGGATTTAAAGGACCTCAGAAACTGGGCAATAATGCATCGTTTTAGTCGCGGTTATAATAATTTAAGATATTGCATTAAAGTGTAAAAAAAAGATTGCTTTAACATCTTTTCTACGGTAAGTTAGTGCACTCCATATGCATGTTGCATGTTTATAGAAAAATATTGTGCATGCACTATCTATTTTTAATATATCGTAAAAGCCAAGGTTATGGTGCCATACACTTTATTAATTATTAGACCTCCTTTTTGTTAGTCGTAGCCGGCCCCAACAGTTTTTTCTTTTAGAAACAAAAATGTTCTATCCTCAATATCAAATATCAACGCTTAAAGGATCCAATAAAGAAATTCAATAACTGCATTATTTAAATTACTTTTAAGCATACTTTTTACAGTTCTTCACCAAATTTGACTTTATTAAATATCTTACTCTTATCCTATTCTACATTTAAAACTACTTTGTCAGATCCTTCAAATTCTTTTTTAATAAATTTATTGCACTCGTATAGTCAAAGCATATTATTATTATATTCAAAAACCGCATTATTATCTACGCTTTTATTATTTTCTATTACATTCGTAATAACATCTTTTTAAATATAATACATACATATTATAATAATATTATACTAACGTTTCTTTACAGGCTCGGTGCTTATCTCTGACGGGCTTGCATGGACCACTAACAATGTAACGAGATCATGTAATCTGTCAATTTATCGAAGCAATTTATAATGTGTCATTATGATGTAACGACATTCGCTTATAAATCGAAACAAATTAATACACCATCATGCTGGTTTTTTATTGAAAATGTTAACTTAAATATCCATTATTATATATATATAATAAAGTCATGTTAGTTACACTATTTATAACTCAAGAACGTCTGGACCAATTTTTATGGTTTTTGTTTTTTTTGGATTTGTCTTCGTTCGGAATAGGATAATATAGTTATATTCAATTTAAAAAAAAACATTAAAAAAACATCAGTCTAGACGTTCATTTGTAATAAATGGTTTAACAAAAAGCAACTGACAGTTCACGTAATGTATATTAATTATTTTGAATACCGCAAAACGTTGAAATCGAAGTTGACCGGTTGATGTGTTTGTTTTGTGCCAGTGTTACGAGTTCGTACGAATATTATTATAATAAAAGTTATTGTGCCGATTATAGCGGCACGAAGTTCGCAGGGTAAGCTAGTTTTTTAATAAATATTGAACATAAATAATGCCAACTATCGATATCCATTTCTTAAACAGAAACCTGTTGCTCAGTGTTAAAAAGGTTGTCATTTAAACACTCGAAAATAAAACAGATGAATAGACATCTGTAATACTTTTTAGAACGTATAATATTCTATAATATTATTTATATTATTAGTCTTTTAAGTTTAGAAGTCTCAGGGCAGGTAAAATAAAGTCCTTTATTAAAATTTTCAGTATTGTGTATTAGTATGTTTCGATGTATGATATTTTATACTCCCTTATTTTAAAAACTACTTTATAACAGCATATTAGCTACTCAGTGCGTTGTCTCATTTTTATTATTAAAAAAAATCTGTAACAAAAAGCCGCTGCCAATTACGTATGAATAAGAATATTAGTGGACACGCCATCAAAAAATGTCATTTATGTGTAAAAAGTCTGCCAGTAAGTAATATTAACTAGTTAATAAAAAGCGAATTGGGTGACGAAATTCGCCCTTAACTACTCAGCAGAATATCCTATTGTCAGAGGCACAGAAAAGGACATTGGATAACGTTCATCCAGAAAAAGACTGTCCCTTATCAAAAACGGGCAAAAATTGTGTACAGAGATAAGTGTAACTTTATTTCACATCGATCGGTGATCGCGTTTGGCGCTGTGATTGGCTCGCGCTAGAATCTTCACCAATCGCAACGCCGAACGCGCTTACTTTCGAGAGCGAGAAGAAGTGAAATAAACTTACACTAAGCCCTCTGATACTGTTACACCTGGTAATTTACATTTTATATTGAGGAACTATTAATGAATACTACAGTGCTTAGGAATGTGCTCGAAATATATTTAATATTCATTAATTGATATCTGATACCCATTTAAATGAATACATTACAACATAATAGTAGTTTATTTTAAAATTTCCTCACTTTTGGTCAGTACACTCACAAATCAATATATTATGTGAGTAACTTATTTTACTTTAGGATAAAAAGTTTTTTCATATATCAGTCAGATTTTTATACTGTTTAATGTGCACAATTTAGAAAAATATTTGTTATCAAATACATAACTTATTTTGCACTTAAAATCTTAAAAAACTAGAAATGTATGATCAAATAAGACATCAATATAATATTAACTACTCACTTGGCTTTGTTGCTTAGACTACACGAATTTACTAATATTCTTTTGAGTTTTATATTTTTTTTTATAAAAATGTTACAAGTTTATAAAAAAGAATTCTATTGCAATTTAAACAACAAATTGATAAAGTATTGTTATCATATATCCACATGTTATTTAAAGTAACTATTAACTTAAAGCCAAGTAGTTATATGTAAGAGTTTTGATATTGTATGTATAATTTATTTGTGTGTTTTAAATTTAGTATGTGATTAATTTCGAAGATATAAATAAATAAATTCGAATAAACCAATCATTGTAGAGGCAAAAAATATTGTAGTACAGTGAAAGTAATACATGGCGAAGTATTAAAAAACAGCATGTCTAGTGTGCCTTTACCGTTCATCTGCGTCTACTTTGGATTTCTATTAGATTTATCCCTGAATTACGCAAGCAATTTCAGCGCATGATCATTTTCTTCTGCGTTTCAAATGTTGGCCAATACTAATTATCACGCTAATTCCATCAATAATAATCGATTCCCGCTCAAGTCAAACATTTGTGTGCATGAACATTTGATGTTTGATTTGGTCTGGGTGTTTCTATGTATAATATGTATGTATTTACAAAAAAACAGTATATATGTATTTATATCAGTTGTCTAGTACCCATAGTACTATCTATAGCTCTGCTTAGTTTGGGACTAGATGGCGTTGTGTGTATGTGGTAGAATATATTATTATTATTATTATTTATTATTATATTAGAATTCAGTAAGTATTATTTATAAAGTTATATAGCATATATGCTACAATCTATAGCTCAAGAGTTTATTTCAATTTATAACGCACTCCGTATACACTACTAAGTACTTGTTCCACGAAATAAAGTCAATAAATATGAAGTCTTGTTATAAATTAATTATTTATTGAAATAATTTTACTCTGTGGTAGTTTTATTCGAATGTATCTGTGCCGACTTTATTTATTGACATTACATATATGGTTATCTATGTCTACTGTACAGAGTAGAGATTTAATGGTGTTCATTTTGTTAACCATAGAGATTTTTTGTTGTTTTTTTTTTAAATTGTCAAATGTATTTTAGAGTTAAAATACATTTAACACTAATTAAATGTTATTTTATTATTGTAGTTGTACTTGTCTTACTAAGGCATCTGTGAACTGTACAATATATACGTAAAATAACCATTACTCTCAATCAAAAATGATGACAAAAGTATTGACACCCATTGAGATGTTAAAGTATTGTATTTAGAGATTTTATTATATGCGTTATTTATTTGTGTGTTAATGTGTGTACAAAGAGAATAACAGATTTTGTCTTTCAGCTTTGCGCTATAAATTGTTATTCTTTTAAGTTATAAATATATTTTTATTACATAAAAATTCTTCAAATTTAAGTAGTATTAGACATGGAAGAATATTATAGGATAGCATTGAATTCTCATCATAAGTATTTGTATTGTTCTTATATACTCAACGTACATACTACAAAGAGAAATTGGAACCATGCATTTCTACCAATCATCAATCATCATGTGATCCATCCATCGATAGATTCATACCTCTATATTGATCCATACCTCCATATTGATCCATACCTCCATATTGATCCATACCTCCATATTGATCTCATTCATCCAGTCACACAATCTGGAAGCCATGACACAGTTTTTTATTTAGGAAAAGGGGTTAAGAGAATCTTAATATGGGGGGATGTCATGATTTCAATTTCACTATCCATAAAAAGGCTTTTAAAATGAGCATGTTTCACCACTGTTAACGCATCACATCATCACATCACACATCAACAGCCTTTAATAGTCCACTGCTGGACATAGGCCTCTCCTTAGAAAGGAGGTTTTGGCCTACTATACCACGCTGGCCAGACGGGTTGGTATAGGGTTTGTGTCAAGTTTTCCTTCTTTTTGCAGTGCTGGTGTCCTGCGTTGTTTTGCGCCCTTGTTAACGCATAAGTTCATGATATTCATTTCGCCAATCTTTGATAGGAATCATTGCATAGGTTCTTAATAATGGTTTAAGTAAAGTTTAAATCTTTTTTAACCTTTACCTAATATTGCATGATACACGCAATATTAGGTAACATAAAACTTAAAACACAGTCAACGCAAAGTCTTATACAATCTTTGAATGAGCAAAACTGGCATTAATTTTAAACTCAAAATTAATGATTACAGTTCGTAAGGATTGTTGTGGTATACTTATCAGTGTTCGACTACGACACCAAAATAAGTACTAAATTTTAAATTTAGAATTGCCATAAACATTCTAAATTTTAATAAGAAAATAAATTCATTAGTCCTTTTAGCCCAGAAGGAAATTGCTTTGCTGCTTAAAGTGGTGAAACAGGTCCAAAATGTGATGATTACTTTATAAAATTGGTGCTGTTTACTAAACTTGTTATCGAGACGAGTCTCATTTGTAATAACTTTTGTTGTGGCCTTACTAATAAATGTAAGGGCCTTTGTTTTATAACTTGTTAATGTGCTATGGAGCCAAATTGTGGTGATAATTATTTAAATATTTTTGTATCGCATTATATTTGCACGAATTTTTATTTTTTCTTGTAATATAGTTCCTGTTGCTATTGTAAGCATGGACGGTCAGCCAGAAAATATGTAATCTTTCCATGTAGGGGTAGCTATAACTCTAAAAACATTATTTTCTTATATTGGGCTAAATCGTATTCCATTGTAACTGGCGCTCTTGGTAATTACTCTCTTATAAATAAGTTAATAGGTATATGTTGCACTTAACCCGTGGAGTCGTTTTTGGGAAGACTTTTATTGCGCGACGCAGGTTTAGTAGTCTCTCCGTAGTTCCGCTTGTATTCGTTTGATGACGTTGAAATAATATGTTTTTCGTTGTATGTGGAAGTCAGAACATGTCTTTTTTCTAAGAATTTGTCTTACGTGTTTTTGTTTTGGTTACATATAAATAAAGAAAATGGTACAAGCTTTTTTAATTCAAGTAGACTAATCAAAGCCATTGACAGAAAAGCGGCTGCTGGGCGCGAAACAATTTTATAAGTAGAATAAGTATTGAGTAATACCAGTAAATTCTCTTATCAGTAATACATATGAATTTTCAGAGTAAGAGCGGATGGGTAAGCGATCTTGGTACCATCTCATCGTTTTACGTCACCGAATATTAGAATAACTAACAGGATTGTAATTTTAATAGTGGCCAGATCGTAGAATTAAACAATTCATAGTATCAGAGCGTAATATTAACGCTCAGCGTTTGAGTATATAAAGTACTAAACATACAACGGCATATTTAAATGATCGATTATAAGATCTAGCCACGAAATGTACCTAATACATGCGGTGTTATAAATGGTGATATTACGCTGTTATCCATTTTTGTTATTGAAGTCTGACACAGTTGCTCTCTCTAAAATCTAGCTACCCAATCTATCATTATTATAAACTACAGATATATTAATAGATCTCATTCACAATGGCAAAATAACACAGCTTTCCATAGAAAAACATTTCTTGTCGTGACTTTTTTATATTCCATTCGAGCACCATGTTTATTTTAAAATAGGTTGTGTCTAAAAATATCGGCTAAGGATAAAGTCAGCAAGCCCTTACCAGTTCCAGAAGAATCGTCCAATGATTTATTTAGAAACTCATAATTGTACTATATTGTATTGCAGGTATTTATAATTAGTTTACAAAAAGTGCACGCATATTCGCATTGTTAACACAAATAAAAATTAATTTGCTTTAACAACCTGTGTTTCATTTTCTACAGTAGGTACAGAACAATCCTGTGCTCAAACTACCGGCGAGCGTCTTAAGGTCGAGTTGATGGAGCTAGTATTTTTAAGTCCTATTTTCTTCTTACTCTTTCGATCATGAGAAGGCAACGATCTTCTATAATAAAGAAGTTTATGTCAAATGAGTACAATGCGAACAAAAATAGTAGATAGAGTTAAACGTAACGTACAGCTACCTACTATGTACTTCCCTACTTTTTTTTTATCCGTGCGGATCTCCCCTCGGATACTAGCCATCAGTGGGGTGATTATGTCGGACTCGAACCTACCAAAAACCGCACGCCGTCTCCAGGTACCAGTAGCCGGGAACCAGGTATACCCTAGAAAGGAAAGCCCACTAGGCCTTTCCTAATATTATTGTGGCCCGAGGTACGTGGGGTACCAAACCTGACGTACCTCGGGCCATCTACAGCGGATAGATGACCCCCTCCTTTGTGGAAACCACTATGTTCTCTTCCTGCCCCCGAAGGGCGTGCGCTCTCCCACCCCGGCCTGCTTCTGCTAGTGACAGATAGTCTCACCTGTCACCCCAGGCCCGCGCTTATGGGGGATGGAGGTCGTTCTGCGGTACCTGGCCCGTACCCAGGCCTGGTGGGCCGTGAGAGTTCTGTACCTCTTCCGGTCCCGCTCTGCCAACTCCAATAACTTATAAATACAAGGTCACTGACTAAAACCAGTGTTTAAATAAAACACAAAAATAACAAAAAAATATCTTATATCTAAAACACTTATATACTAGGTTAAATTTTACATAAAATTAATCAATGCATATAATATTGTATCTTAAGGGAATTACGCAGTATCTGTGGCGCTATATACTGATCGCATACAAAGACTATATTGAAGATCTCCTCTGTGACAATGATTCCATTGTCTTGAAAAGCGCCCTCTATATCTGTCTCCAACCATAAAAACAGCACCACAGTGTCAACATTGAACGTGAAGGAATACTCTAGTTTGCGATCCGACGTCTTGATAACAATATTTGACACGTTGAACTGAAACAAAATAGATATGCTTAAGTGTCAAAATTATTTAAACTTCGTTCATACGGTATTAAGGTGTATAACTTAACAATTTAATGACATTGTTAAGAAAATACTAAGGTTTTGGCCCTAACTGTCCAGCTTTTAAAAAAGAGGTTTGAAGTTAACTCGTTTAATTTTTGACAGCCAACCACTACCTTCATATACATATACTAATGTAAGTTATTGTTACATAATTAAATATGAAACATGATGCTATATATACTACGCGGACAGAGTACTGCCCGGATGGCGCAGTGGCTTAAGCGGCACATGGGACACAGGGAATAGTCCACTGCTGGACATAGGCCTCTTCTTAGAAAGGAGGTTTTGGTCTACTATACCACATATTGTTGTTCTAAGTTTGGGTGTTCTTTGTGTCCGTTTCATGTATGTTTTTAAAGTCCCCCGCGAACGCAGGATATATTCCTAATGCGTGATATATATATATATATCACAGAATCGTGAATAAACATTAAAAGTGCGATTAACGGTAAATCGGAAGAGTTTCGTTGTTGCCTAGATGCACACATAAACGATAATAATATTTTACACATAAAAAAGTTAACGCTAATTCGTCCTACAGGATTTATTGAATATAAATGCTTAACTCTACTTATAATATTACTAAATACAACCTTATAAACTTTAAAATAGGTTAGCGTTTCACGCGAGCAGTATTGTTCTTGAGGCGGTTCGGTGAGACACCGTAATGGTGTATTATGGTGTATTCTATTACGAAAATGACGAAAAATAATACGAGAATAATTATTTATTTGACTGATACTCTAATGTCGAACATTACTATTCATGAACATTTTATTGTAAAATAATACTACTTACTCTTGTATACAAAATATGTTATAAATCCAATAACTATAAAACAGAATTAAATAAAATGATCGATTTATAATGTATTTAAAATCTTTATTGACCCTGAAATAAAATATATTTATTGTATTATTATAATTTATCAAAATAAAATGCATTTGAATATTTATGTATTTTTACGCATTTTATTAAGTCGGATAAATGATTTGAAGATTCACCTATTTGAAGAAAGCTTATTTCATTAAATATGTTACTACCTACTAACTGGCGTAAGACTTGCAAAAGTATCTAACTAATGCTATGATCAAAAGATCTCCAAAATAAGTTCATTAAAAAAATATGCGAACAAACAAAAACCTCTTCTTCTTTGCTGTCGGTTAGAAATCATAATACAAAAAAAAAAACAGTGTACTGAATAGAAAAGCATTGTAAAAACCAAAATCAACGAAACCCATAACATTGCGATGTCGAATGAATTATAAATAAGATTGGCTTTATCACTATCGCAACCAAATAAACTGTCACTACTAAATATTTTCACTTTTTGATCACTCAATTGAGAATCGATCCTAAAGTTGCACTTGCCGTATTTACGTATCGTCGCCAGTCCGTCCCCACAGTAATTAAAAATGCGTAATTATATTTCGTAGAACACGAAAGCTTTAAAATTAGTGCCTATGTGCCTGTCTGTGTATACATAAGGAATGTATAAAGTTTCTACGAAAGGCTGACAAGTACAAGTATTACATTTTTCCCTATTGACGACGTATAAATAGTAAGTTGATATAAGTACATATATATGTAGGTATGTCTATATATTAAGTATCCGCGATATATAATAAATTTAAAACAAATAAATCGGAAAGTAGTAGTAAGTACATAAAGTAAAACTCACCTGAATATTAGGCTCCTTCAAACCCACAATGGATTTCAAAGGCTTAGGAAACACATAATTCGGTGGGGAATATTTCACTCCTGGCGCTTTAAAAGAAAACTTTAAGAAAATATTTTCCAGCTTGTGGTGTTCCCAATAATCTGTCTTAATATCTAGTAACTTAGATGATAGTGGTCCAATACTAGCAGGAAATATCTTCGTATAAGTTGGTATTAACGTATTCCAATGGAAGAGTTGGACGATAATCTCCGATCCATTTATTGGCACGAATCTGTCGTTTATTAGATAAACGTCAATGTCACCAGCCATCCGCAGGCGCGGTGAAACGAGAACAGGCGCGAAAAATGATTTGGCAAAGTAATGCAGCATCTTCCACTTGCCTCCGTGCTCTAAAAATTTAATATAAAATAAAATTACAAAATAGAATTATTAAAGTTTTGAATTAGTGGATAAAATTAAAAAAGTTTTTAAATATGGTTAGAAAACAAAGGTTTTAATTAACCGAGAGATGTTCTCCTGCTCTGTTAACCTAGGAAGGAAATCAGTGACCGTGACCGTGACCACCTAATAAACAAATGGTGACCTTTATCTCCCGTCTGAGTGGTCATAACAATTACTTGTAAGTGAATGCACCTTTAACACCTTACCTATGCTAGACCAAGATGGCGCCTGCCAAATATCATTTAGTTGCCAATATAGAGCTCCCATTGTATACCAATCAGCTTGGCTCTGTCTGTAGAATTCAGTTTCGGCCTTTATGGACATTGCTTGTGAAATCTACAAAAAATAAATATATAAATAAATAACAAAATTCATAGTTCATGACAACTATCTAAATAATGGTATTTAAAGAAGAAAGCTAATGATAGCATTAAAAAAATGTGATAAGGACTAATAATAGACTCTTGTCTCAGACTTGTTTCTGTTACAAAAATTCAGAGTCAAGCTAGACCCAACAGATATTTGATCAGTTTTAGGCACCCAGTGTGCCTTATGCAAAAATAGACAACTACTTCTTTATCGCTCTTCATCTAGAGTATTTGAACTCGATGTAAATATTTTATGAATTATCACTCACTCGGTCACTTGGTAGAAAGGACACATACAACTCGCTAGGGTGAGAATTCTCCACCAAACCTAAACTCAAGAGAAGTTAGAGAGAAAGGAAGAGCGTGAGGTCTCTGGTAACCTAACTGGCTCGGTAAAATGCAACGTAAGCATTGTTTTTTGAGATGCCGTAATATCACTCAAATCGAGCCAACCTATAAATACTTGCGTAATTTACAAGATACGCTAGTCATCGAATAATTTAAAATATGTACCTATATGAAAAAAATAAGTACCTGGCTGTAAAACACGAATTTTTCGAAATAGTTGGCATCCGTATTTTCTAATTTCAGACGTTCTTGTAATTGGTTTTTAATGAATATATATCCATTGGGGCTGTGTTGTCTATGAATAGAATATACACTATCTAAACTTAAATCTTCTGACTTATTGGTTGCAGTTCTCATAGTGGCAAGCGACGGTAATGATTGGAAACCATATTCGGACGCAAACCTAGTATTTGGAAATATATTCATATCCCAATTATCTGCCATATAATTGTAGTAATGTGTGTCACCATAATGAGCGTCATACGGATTTAATGCTATATAACCTTCCTTCTCTGACTCTAAACCATTTGATGGACTAGATACTAAATAACGTCTACCAGGGTCCACATCTTCAACGATTGGTTTAATAGTGTCCACGTACAATTTGATGTATTCTTTTTTATATCGTTCGAATTCATATTGTGTGTGATACCAATTGCCTCTTAGAGCTACTTCGTTTTCGTTATTTCCGGCCCAAATAGCAATAGAGGGATGGTGCTGTAGGCGTAGTACATTTTGTTCTATTTCATCCTGCACCGAACTGTAATGCAAATATATATTGACTGGTGCTAAAACCTATGTGTATACAAATAAATATATACAAAGAATTAGCTTCTAAAAAGTATCACGGACTATAAAGAGACGCCTACGCTGAATTATAAGAAACTGTATTTTGCATTCCTTAATTTTCTCTTTTACCTTAGGGGTAATATTTTTTTCTTCAAATTTGAATGAAGAAGTGGGTATAACAAACCATATAAATAAGGACCGGTTTAAAAATGACAGATCACTGAGATAACAAACAAAACAAAAATAAATATAACCGAATTGGAACCTATCAACTTGGTTGTCAACCTATATCAACTTGGTTGATATTAAGTAAAATAAAACGAGGGAACCTTTGTACTCGCATATATTATGACGTGTAATACCTATTTGACATCTAAAATACCATCTTACGGCTAACTTTAGACATGCGCGCGCGCTTTTGTTAAATTAAATAATTTTTTGGCTTCCTGTTTTAAACTTCCGTCCTTTTTCACGATAACTGCCACATTAATATGTGGCAGTTATCGTGAAAAAGGACGGAAGTTTATACAAAAAAGTGAGAGGGAAGATGTTATACATTAAAAATACTGACTTACCTAATGAAATCAATGTCTACAGGATACATGGAGCAAGCAAACATAAAGTCTTGCCAGATCAAAATACCATACTCATCGCACTTGTCATAGAAGTAGTCGGACTCATAAACACCGCCACCCCACACGCGTAGCATTGCCATATGAGCATCGCGAGCATCCCGCAACAATTTATCCACTGGACAAAAGAATTGTACATTTTTAATAAACTTTTCCATTTGTAAGAAGCGTGCAGTCACGTTCAACGTTGCCTTCGGTTAAACCGCGTCGGCTCAATACAGATTTATATCCAAATTTAAGAAAAAATATCTTATAAGATATTTTTTTTCTTTTTTGAGTAAATGATTACTGTTGGGTTTTTATATAAGTAGATCCATTTAAGCACCAGGATGCAATTAGAAGATAATTATGTGCATATATTAATAACATAAAAAGGAAGTACAATTTTATAATGGTTTTGTTTTACAGGGAATGACCAGACTGCCAAACGTAAAAAAACGAAACAGTCAACCAGCCACTTTAGATAGTAAGTAGAGTTGTGTTAACGTTCTATGTGCACAACAATTACTCATATTTATATCAGCCCAGGACTTAGGATGATAATTGCTTGATGGGTTATTAATAGTTTGAAGGAACCAAATACAATATGATATATTAATAAAGTTAATAGTAACAACTTGAGGCACTTTTTATGCAGTCGTCTGATTCGCAACTATATCGGTAGGCAGAGCTTAAACCAGACTGCTGATAACTAACCGAGGTCGCATCCTTCTGCGAAGACGTCATCACATACTCAGGGCGGCGAAGAAACGCTTACCAGAGCCTCACGCCGCCCTGAGTGTCATCGCGGGTGGACGGGACGGGTTTTCCCCTCCACCCGCCATAACGGCCAGCGGCGAGGAGGCGACGTTCGCCTGTGCCTGACGTCGCCTTAATAGAGAATTAGTGATGTGCCGGATATCCGTATCCGTATCCGCGGATATCCAAGGGAGAAGAGAGATCCGTAACCGTATCCGTATCCGTGACTTTTTTGGCGGATCTTTCAATACACATTAAATAGATGAAATTCTATATAGGTGATTTTGTATTCACTGTAAAACTCTTAGGTATGTGTTTGTAATACTATAAACAGCAACTTTTTTTCTGAAAAAAATTGGTTCTCCATTCAAATAACCAATCAAATGTTGTTAGTTTGTATGGAGAAACACTTTTATTTCTTTCGTTTTCGGTGTTAGTCCAGAAGAAAAGTTGTTGTTTATAATTTTACTAATATGCAAAACTATTGAATTCTGTTCAGATTACTTTTTATTTCTTAAAACAAATATTTGGCACGTTTGTATTGCAATCATTTATCGTACTATACTAAATCAACTAGGCAGGTCGTAGGTACTGAAAGAGCTATCTTTATAATGAAATCAATCAAACATCTTTGTATTAGCTTATTAAAATAATGAAATATTTAAATATCAACGGCAAAGCGTCAAGTGGCGACAACTATCAAGGTCACAGGCTCCGATTGAGTAAGAAACTTAAGATCCGTATCCGTATCTGTATCCGCGGATCTTGACACCAAGATCCATTCCATTCGGATCCGTATCCGCGGATATACTTTGTTAACGATCCGGCACATAACTATAGAGAATGTACCCAAAGGTGGTGCCCGCGCCGTTGCGGGCAGGCGCTAGGAAGAGTCCGGATGTCTTAATAACAGCAGTTCCCGGATCCCTCCTATTACAGGCGCAGAGTAGCACGTGTGGTTTTAGGCGGTTCGAATCCGACACACGCAAACCGCGGTGAGCCGTCACCCCGCGGTTTGCGGTGGGGTGACAGCCCGAGGGGGTTTCCACACGTAAAAAGAAAAACTGCTAATAACCGCACTAATAAATTACTAAATACATTTCAGAGAAAAATTACAAATAGACGCAGATGAAATCATCGTGGCTATCACTTAATTCGTAAGTCTGGAGTGTGTCCTTTACCCAAGAGTTCTACGTCAGCAAGCTCATTTATAAAGATAAATCCAGTACGGCAATACTGGATTTATCTTTAGCGCTTTGAAAAATTAACACCCTCAGATCAGCGTTCCACTGTTTTAACAAAAAAATGAAGCAAAAAAATAAACATCAAACAAACATACCTATGTCAGTTTGTTTTTCACCAAGTTCCGGGAGAACGTTTGCTGGAATCCAGTTCGAACCTTTCATGAAGATGGGGTAACCGTTGACTTTAAAGTAAAATGTGAGACCGGTACCAGCAGAAGTAGAATTACCTACAAAATCAAGAAATGTTACCACTCTCATAACACATTTCCACGTGTTGTATTTTTATTTAATTATTTAAATATGTATATATATAAATGTTAAGTTGGTTTGTGTACGCTTCAAAAAGTAGTATTTTATATACATAGCTTCGCAGTGGCACATTGTGGTTGCAATAAATAGATAAAAAAACATATTTGAAGGCTGTTGTAGGTATATCATGTTAAAATTTGAGCTCGGTCTAGTGTCAGGCTCTTTAAAAAGCAGTCAAGGTTTGCCAGGTTACCGAGGAAGGTTAAGATTACCTAGGGCAAAACAATTAACTTACCTAGCTTAGACGAAGCATTTTCTTCAATAAGCTCAATAGTTCTGAAGCCAATCTTCACATTAGCATATGAAATTTCATTGTTGTTACTTTCCATACTTAACTGCACTTTTAAGTTATATAATACTTGGTCCCCGTAGCCGTTCGGCCACCATAGTCTTATTAAGTTCTGTAAAGATAGTTGAAATGTAATCAAAATCTTAGTACACATTCGCTGAAAATAACCAACAAAGTACAAAATTTTAATAAACATTTTACAGTAGACGCCATTGGATCAAATTACTTAGAATAGAATAAAGATTCGTCAAAACGACAGACCGACCGACTCGTCAGTATGACTAAAACTAGAAGGTCTTACTGGTTGCCATTGAAGAGTTCCTTTTTCCACCTCCTAGGCCCATCATCAGATCATAATAACAAACTTATATTATTATTATATATTATTAATAATAAATTGTAAACCGAACTAGATACATGTACAAAATTTCGTGGCATGATGAAATTACTTCCAAGATGAGTTTACACAGTTAGTTAGCTAGGTATTTCGTAGTGGTTAAATATAAGTGAGCCTTATAAAATCATGTCAGTAAGATAGATGGTGAAATAAGGTGCTGTTGATGCATTATCATTCATTTACACTCAAAAACAGTCCTTCATGCGTGTGGGTAAGGTTTGCTAGGTGAGCTACCTAATGTCCTTCCAGAAGTATAATAGTCTCTCGGGCGTTCGCAGGCTTCTTGGAGTGAACTTGTCTTAGAAAGGATACTACCCTATTGTGTGGCACTCCCTTGCCCCACAGGATAACGTGGCTGACCGTTTTCGTCAGTATTCGGATATTAAATCTCTAATACCCCGTGACTTGACTATTGCGACAGCGTAGGTTAATGCCACACCTTCGCATTGAAATATGGAGATGTGTTGGCCTTCTGCCAGAGGTAAGTTTATGTTTAAGTCTTGTCAGAAAACTGCAATTCCAACTCGTGACTCGCATCTTAGAACTGTCACTATAAATTCAGATTTCGTTTATGACGGAAAGATCTCGATAATTTTCTTGTACGTCTGTTATGACTCTTTATAAAGATGTGTTGTTTTATTTTCAGTTGATGCTATCGCATGGGGCTGTTGTTTGAGATTGGTATTTCACTAATTGATCCCATGTTTTGGACGACTTGCGGACCCTCACAGTTGTACCGCAGATGTTTAGAGATGTCGGAGAAGAGATGTCTAAGCATAATATTTATATATTAGAAGCTGAAACCTTTTATTGTAAACGTGCTTATAGAAAATCTTGATCAAGATATATAGAAGATCACGTACGTATGAATGCTAGAGCCTATCGTTTTAGCTAGGCCTAAAAAACGTTGTATGATAAATGTAAAAAAAAACTAGATACCCAGATTTTACGTAGATTTTCGCGAAAATTTGTAAGTTCCAAAATTTATCTTAATTTTTAACTTTTTTTATTTTATTCCTTTATTGGTGCTGTAAGACGTTTCTTTTTGCCAAATTTCGTGATTCTAGGTTTTCGACCCAAAACCTATAGGGTACTTCCGGTTGACCTAGAATTGTCAATTCTGATTAAAAGTAAGGTCTTACAGCACAAGTAAAGAGAAACTTCTGAAAAATAAAAAAAGTTGAAAATTAAGGTATATTTTGGTACGTTTGGTTTGTAAGTTTTCGCGAAAATCGAAATTTGCTCATATCTTTTTATCGTGTTGACTCAGGACCTTGATTTTTATATACCTAATAGAAACCATAGACCTCAGTATTTGGTATAAATTTCAACTTGCTAGGTCTACCCGTTTCTGAGAAAATCGGTGGTGACACACGGACAGACGGATAGACGGACAAGAAAGTGATCTTATAAGGGTTCCTTTTTTACCTTTTGAGGTACGGAACCCTAAAAATATTTTTTTTCATGTACGGATACTTATAACTGTCTTTATGCAAAACAGTGATACCTACCTCGCTAACTGGCAGATCCATATCAACTTCAGCAGTCCCGTCGTCCCTTGTGAACGTATTAAATTCTAACCACCTTTTCAAGGTCTGTTTTCCCTCTAATTGCAAAGAAGTAACCAACGTCCCTTTGATTTCACTTGACTTCAGTCGGGTCTCCAAATAAGCTTTTATTTTTAAGTTCCATGTTGACTCGTATTTGTTTGTGTGTGTGGTGATTGCTCGTATTATCGCTGAATCATACATTTCTATATATACTGGTTTCCTGTAATAAATAAGTATGAAATTTTGTCCTTTTAATGTAGACTTGGTCAACCAATTTAGGAATACCTCGTAAACAGTACATTTATTAGTTTAAAAGGAAGCTCTTGTCTTTTTCCGTACCAATGAGAACTGAGTGTAGGTATGTAAAATGTTATGATTATCAGTTAAAGCATAAGAGCGTAACGAACAAACAAAGCTATCTTTGTTGTGTTCGTTATGGTTTTTATATTGTTTTACAAAATTTTACGGTTGAAAATTGAATGTGAAGTATAATAATAAATGGTAGAATTTTTGGTTAAATTGTGTGTCAAGATTTCGGAAAACAGGCAAAATAATCGTGATTAAATGCCCGGGATTTGACTACTACTACTGAAAACTGACTTGCGCTAGAACAGCTTTTTTATAATGACAAAGTTTCAAACAGGCATACATGATAATTAATAACCTAAATTAATAATTAATTGTGAAAAAAAAATGTAGGCATAAGATCTGATAATTTTACTTATTACCAATCGCACCACCACAAGCATACTATGCTTTACTGAATTAATAAATACCAATAAAAGTTTTAGGAAATAAAATACGTAACTAAGGAAGCTTACCAGATCCCAACGGACGGAAACGCGGGCCCCCAATCCCAGCTGAAAGAAGCCTGCATTTTCCTCAGCTGGTTGATATGACATTCACCGTTGTATTCGCCCGGTACACATTCTGGCGCTATAAACTGCTTCTCAGAGCGCATACGTGCAGCTTCCACCGGGGATATAAATGTAACCTTCAACGTATTCTCCCCAATCTGTGTAAACATTCGACTTATGAGAAATATTCTACTCAATGCAATGTTCTTTGATAATATTTTAATAAGAATATAAATTTATTGGGTATATTATTTTATTAAAGAAAATGTTTCACTAGTTATTAAAGGTATTTTTTAGGATTTGATTGAAAAAGTAAGTAAATAACGTCACACATATGATAGGGATAGGACATAATATTTACGTAATATTTTAGTCAAATATATGAATGCATATACTCTATGAGTGCATATCGAAGTCACCAATAAAGTCATTTTTAAGTAGTTATACTACAACCTTTCTATGAACTATCTATGACGTATTATGGAGGTCATGTGTTCGCTGGGTAATATGATATTCTAATGATATTTATTTCCTACCATTACAGATAAAGATAACAGTTCGAGAAGTATTTGCTCATTATAACAAAAAGTTATTTACTATGTAATATCACAATGTTTACTATACCTGAATTACGGTCTTAATATCATACACGTAACGTACGAACATGTTAGTGCCCGTTCCAACAGGAATGTCGTTTAGTTCCACGAACGCGATTGTATCAAGTCCTTCGAAAACCAGTTGGCATACTCGCATGTTTAGCTGTTCAGCTGATACTGGAAACAGAAATATTAATTATAAAAAACTTGAGACATAAAGAATGACCATCCATCATCTACTTCGAAGTTTAATACAATCTAATTGTTTAAATTTTTACAAAAAATAATTAACTTAATAACATGACTGCTCGCAATTTTTAAGTACATAAGATGACGAACTCACCAAAATTAAAAAACTTATTCTCAAAAATATTGTGGTATTTCGAATACTCTTCAATAATCTCTTGTTTTACCAAATTCTATCTTAATTTTTAAATGCATTTATGTTGTAAAATATAAATGTAACTACATTTAGATCTTTGATGGCACTGAATCGAAGATTCAGTCGGTACCCGATTCTTGAATGCTAATTGTTTTTATTTCAAAACGGGACGATACCATATTGATGTTCTTTTGGTTTTATTAAATTTTAGATAAACCCTTTTTATCTACACAAATATATAGCACTTTTTTTAATTTATTTAAAACTTAATGTGCAATATGTACCGAGGCAGACACAAATATACAATATACACCAATTGGCTTTTCAAGTGTATGCATGGGCAGGATTTGCCCATAATCGTCACGCTGGGCAGGCGGGATGGCGGTCGCAGGCCGGTGACGCTGCTGCCCGTCACCAGCTTGTTGTATTTACCTACGCCTGTTGGGGTGGATATACCGCTATCGGTCGGTCGCCAGAGCCTCGTTCGTCGTCCGACGCGAAAGATGGTGGTTCGCCCTCATAAAATTCATTATATTCTATTCTATTGCTGGGCAGCTATTTGGAAATATATTATGCAGATGTCCTATGTAAACTCGGTTCCAAAAATAACGGGTCAGTCACATAAACCCGAATATCTCCCGAACTACGTATGCCATCCTAATGAAACGAAGACTGTTCACTTGAGAATTTAATTATACAGATAAAAAATAAAATAAAACTTAAATCTAAACTCTCTTACTCTTAACTTATCTCTAAATAAAAAAAAAACTAAAGAAGTCATATTTTTCTTAAGATTTCATTTTTTTCTGATTGTTTTTTGCTGTTTTTCATCACTTTCTTCATTTAATACTTTGTATTGCCTCCACGAGCTCTTCTGACAGCTTCCAGGCGATTAGGCATACACCAAATTTCGGAGCCGGTGCTGAGGAATACCTTCCCATTCCTCCACCAGTGCTTGCTTGTTTGCCACTGCATGAGTTCGATACCGATTTCTTCAAGGTAGTCATGTACAATTCTGGCGGTATGGGGACGCGCATTATCATGCATTAATATGCCATGCCGGTCCATCCTGGACATAAAAGGACCTACATGTTCATTGAGGATCTCTTCCACGTACCTCTCTGCATTTAGAGTTCAATTTTGAATGAGTACCAGCTCGGTGCGGGCCTCAGTAGAAATCCCAGCCCAAATTTGTACGGAGCCTCCACCGTACGCCACTTTTTCCTCCACACACGCTTGATGGAAGCGCTCCCCTGGTCTTCTGTACACCAACTGCCTACCATCATGCTTATAAAGCATGAATTTAGACTCGTCCGTGAACATTACCCTAGACCAATCGTCTAGTGTCCAGTTTAGGTGCTCGCGCACGTATCTCTGTCTTGCAATTCGATGTCCCCGTTCCAGTTTGGGGCCATTTGCGGGCCTCAATGGTTTCAAATTTGCTTCAGCAAGACGTCTTCTTACTGTTTGAGCGCTTAAATTGCCACCTCCAAAGCGAATAAAGTGAGTTTTTAGACCAACAGCAGTTTGAAAACGATTTCGGAGCATTGTAGCCACCAGTTGTCTGTCTTCCCTGGCCGTTGTGCATCTTGGTCTGCCATTTCCTGGTCTTCTAAGGTGTGATCCGGTCTCTTGGTACCGCTGGACTACCCGCTGAACAGTCGACAAAGATACACCAATGTTTCTGGCTGTTTCACGCTGGCTCCGCCCAAGTTCCAAAAAAGTTAGGATTCTGGTACATTCCTCTAGCGTGACTGCCATGCTTCACCTCACAGAATAATAATTATGCACGTGGAAGATGTTCACGATATTTTTTTTTTGTGATAGAATAGAAATGGAAAGCATCCATAATGAAATGAAACAAAAATTTTGTTTTTAAAAATAGTCATTTTTTTAAATTTTGTTTTTCAAATGAAGTTTTTTTCATCAACCAGTTTAAATAATATGCTATTAGAAGCGCAACTAAAAAGTCTTTATTCTGTTTTTTATTTCATTGATCTAACTTTTACAGTTCTGGAGGTATTTCAATTTTTGTGACTGACCCGTAATTTTTGGAACCGAGTGTATATCTCTCTTAATACTTTATACACACAGGCTGATTATTACAAGAATAATAATAGCAACCAGATATAAAGAGTTGTTGGTACTGTGATTATCATCTAGGCAATATGTAGTGCTGAATACTGCTACGTATGTACAGTATTCAGTGATAACAGATGAACAATGTGTAAATTATCTGTTTTGCCATAGGTTGAAGTGGTTCGAACTAGGGCTAAATATATTATTGACCTAAATGATGCCATCGCACGAAACAAGATAAAGATAAGGTATTGTAAGAAAAGTGTTCTGATAAAGACATCAAATAGTATTTAGGTATTGTGTAAAAGTATTGGGTTTTTAACCACCGTAAATAGAACGCATTAGATAAAGGCAGGGTAAATTAGTGTCTTTAATATAATGCCATCTATGAGTCTATCTATACCTATATTTATATGTACGGAAATGGGCTATCTAACACCAAAAGAATTGTTCAAATCGAACCAGTAGTTCCTGAGCTTAGCGCTTCAACCAACCAAACAGACAACATTTTCAGCTTTATAATATGGATTATTTACTAATGACCTTTCAGTGATTCCGCTTGTGACTATAGCCAGTCAATCTGGTCGAAAGGACTGGCAATTCAAAGATAATATATGTTATATCTATTAACCCTATTAATTCTAGTTCGCTAGTAATAATGATATTTATTTATATTATTTTCAATGACTGACAAGTTTGTGCTTTTTAACGTCAATGGACTATCGATATCGATCAAGCTCCCGCTTTCTGACCAATCAGGTTCCAAGAAATTATCGTTTCGTACTAAAGCTTGCAACCTAAATGGTCAGAAGGTCAATCTTCGTAATAAAAGTTCGGTCAAAATTCAGATCCGATCTACTCTCGATCTCACAAATGTCATTAAAGGTATTTTCGTAGTAAACTAGTAAAATATTAATAAGACTAGCTGATTACTGATTTAACTTTCGGTCACAATACGATATAATCACATTACAGTCGACGTTGGATGTTAAATATTTTACTACGATACTTTACAATACTTTGTTTTTTGTTTTTAAGACAACTCCCCCATTAGGAAAAAAATCTGTGTCGCGGGGACTTAACAAACATACATTAAACGGACACAAAGAACACCCAGACTCAGAACAACAATTTGTGGATCATACAAAGTGTTTTCCCATGTGGGAATGGAACCCACAACACTCATCGCAGTAGAAAGCGGCGCGGTGACCGCATAAACCACCACGCCATACGTGCAGCGAATTGTGAAATCATGAGTAAATAGGAACTAAACTAACTTTTTAGTTCTTTAACTTTTTAATTTGATTAAATAAATATGTTACACCTTAGAAAAAAATAGTTTCAATTTTTAACCCCTAATATTATCAGTGTATGTTTAATGCTTTTTTACAGAAAATACCATGTCCAGAAGAGACGAAATTCTTTCTTTGGCTATTTCGCAAAATCAAAATTCAAAATCACATGTTTCTCCATCTGAACCTATCAGTCACCAGCTTATTTCAAAACGTCTAATATCAACCGACCTAAAAAACATTTCTTTTTTCTAATTGTAACAAGTTATTACTTTGTCGGTTCAAACTTGCCTCTTACTAATGAAAATCGAAATAAATAAGACACTTTATCCACTTATGGTTAGGAAGTTTTTTAGTTCAGTTTCTAAAAAATATTGGTGCAATAAGTAGGTTACTTATTACGGTTATGACAAGTAAACATTCTTTTTATATACTAATCGTACTAAACATAAATAAATTTATTGCTTTTTTAATGCGAGATTAAATGTATTTGCAAACATTAAGTACCACATAATATTCTCCACATTTTTACCTACCATGTAGTAAAAGTTTCAAGTCGAATCATGTTATTGTGATGGAGATACAAACAAAACAAAAAATAAAACTTTAACTGATTTTTTCTCGAAATCAGCTTTGACGTAGTTATTGCACTTTTTGTAAGGACGGCAGGATAGTTCCCTGGATGGAATTCAACTTCAACTGCTTTTTGCTAGCAATTGTATTTGAAAACGAAAGCGTCAGAAAACTGCATCACAATTTTTTTATGACCTACAAGCAGACGGGACAACAAGAGGTGGGAGGAGGGAGCATGGGCTCTGGTAACCTCACTCGAAAGCTACAAAGAAATTGCTTACCACCTTGGTTGCTTGGTTATTTAAAGGCTTCGAGGTCTTGGCGGTGGTATCACTCCGGTCGAACCCGGACCATATTTGCCGAAGCATGACTCTCCCACAAAATAAATAGTATGAAACTGAAGTACTCACCATTGAACTTAACACTATAAGTCCACGTGTCGTAAGCCACCCACCGCGTGAGGACGTCATTACGATCCCACAGGATGTCGCCAATAATGTTGGCATTCTTCAAGTCGGAATACACTCCGCCCGGGACGGTCGCATGTCCCATAATTGCTGTAGAAAAATACAATACATTGTATTACAAATACTTGTAGTACTGGAAACAAATATTTAATACAAGTGCTGCTATTGGTGAAGATTTCCGCGCAGCGGTGGACTATTGAAGGCTGTTGATGAGGCTCTCTGGTCAAAGTATGAAGGTATATACTGGACCAACTGAACCTCTATAGGTTCATATATATATATATCATCAAAAATAAATATTGTTTAAAAATGTATGGCTTATTTTTATACCTATGTTGTGTTCTTTGTGTACATAAACACTGCCTTAAGTTATTTGTTAAAATGTTGTTTATTTTTGTTCATGATTTTTGTTTTCTTTTCAATATTTTTGTGCTGATATCTGAAGAGAAATATCAGGTACATGTGTTGTTAACCTGTAAATGAGTGTCACACTTGTTGATGTATTTACTGTACTTTTAAGTATATTCGTAGGTATATGTAATGTAATTAGCTGTAGATATTCTAAAATGTTTCATTTTTTAACTTGAACAAATTTACACATTTAACTTGAATCTATCAAATTACTTTTTAATATATTTTCAAGTAATTACTATATTTTGTAATTACGCTTATCGGGTTTACCAATTTTTATACTTAGAAAATGTACATAACATATAGATACGTGTGTGCTTTTATACATATATTTAAGGCATTGTCCGATAAAGCCATATGGTATACTCTATAGTAAACAATATATGAAATAATAATAAACAACACTTACAACCGTTGCCGTTTGAAAACGTCCACGCAACTTCATTTGATGACAACTGAATGTTTTCAGCATAAATCACCGATATCGCTACACAAAAATATAAAAGGGCCTTCATCTTTCACAGTTAAAAATGTAATATTCACTTCGTATCACAACATAGATATTTTATTCGAAATGTTAATCACTCTCGAGACCGCGTCGTTTACTCCATCGTAATGATGTGCGTATACAGACCATTCGTTGTCGATAACAATGTTATGAATTAGTCAGTCGACTCGACGCTTACGATCTTGGTAGTTAAAATTACCGGCTCTTTAATTATACATTATTTTTTATATTTGTAACCATGTTTACAAGTTCTATATAGCAGCGTAACCAAGTATTTTACCAGTTGTTGATTGGCCAGTAACACTTATAATTGGATCGGTTTATTCAATTCGAAAACGCTCTAGGTCAAAATGTCAGATAACAAAGAATATTATATTATCAAGAGTATGCAAAAGCGCTATTTATAGACACAGTACGTCACACACTAGATTTAATTTATTCGCAAAAAAATATGTGTAGTTTATGTCCAGGTAAACTGAGAAATGAGCTAATCTCGCAATATTCGGGTAGCGAAGTAGTTAGAAAATGAGTCAGATAAGTAAATACCTAATTGTTGAAAAAACAGTAGGCCAAATTTAATTGAATGAAAGCAAGCTGATGTCACATCACTAACAATTCGCCGATTATCCTCTAATTGCAAGATCATATGATCGTATGGATCACTTGTTTGTGTGCAGTCACCTCCAGTTTCACGATTCTTTCTTGTTTACAAGTCGATTTAGGTATTCGCATTTCAAAAACATGCTTCACGATTAACTTACATTAAATGAAGTGTTGTAAATAACTAAGGTTTGATTAGACAATGTCTCAGTCAAAGTTAAAGTGGTACTGCACAGCGATTTAGCCTACAATTAAAGCCTTGGCTAAGAATGAACCGATTACAGAAGAAGAGCTCAAAACGCAGTAATATCGTCGTGTTGTTTTTAATGCTTCATAATAAGCGATGACGTATTTGCCCTATGACCAATAGGGACCACGTCTGCAAAGCGGCCTATCGCTGGAGGTGGCAATCCAGTCTTTACTTATCCATTATTATTGTATAACCTACATTTTGAATTTGATATTTTAGAAGAAATTTATAAAATTACCTAATTATGAATATACTTACATTTATCCTATATCTTCGAAGACATATGGACTGAGATGCGTATTAAACTGCTGACAATAGTTTTAATCCCTCTTACGTTATTGCAGTCAAACCGAGCACATTAGGAATTATGGATGGGCAAATTAGAAGGTAAATATGATATAAAAATTTGGTGAGACGGGAAGGCATTGGCAGGAGGAAGATATTGCTTATACGGATACGGCATTCGTTAATAAAAACATTGTTTTTTTTTTCTTCACCTACGTGCAGGCAATTTTTTTACATCTAGGTCAAAAACTACTATGCGATTTTAATCTAATAACCTTAAACGAGAATTTCAAATATTTTGTTCATAAATCTATGTACACTCGTATATAAGGTTAAAATAATTTGTATAAATATCTCGGAAACGTCGGAAACAAAATATACCTAACTACCTCTTTAAAAAAAACCCTTACCTTTACCTTTTACCGGTGTGGGTTTTATACTGACCAAATCTACGTAAATACGTTTATACTTGACCTTATGTTGTATGTTACTGTGAGGTCTGGTTATCTCATGCTAGATATATTAAGAGGTATTATTAACTCTTAGCTGGTGACACATACATATATCTTATACTATAAACAAAAAAATGAACCAAGTTGACACCATGCAATCTTTAGACTTACTTTGCACCGAAAAAGAACGTAAAAGAATTAAACTGGAGGTATTAAGAGTGGCATTCACATTGTTAAATGTAAATTCAGTAAGTCCTTGCGGTCTTATTATAAGATGGTTTGATTAATACATTTGTGATCACAATTATAAAATTGCTTTAGGATACTTTGCTACTACTTACACTTTATTTTATTCTACATGAAAATCTCTGGGTATCACACTGCTGATTCGAAGGTGAAACGGTAAAACGTACTCTGCTAATGTACCACTAGACATACGCGTTACACTAATCAACTCCTGATAGGTGTCAGCCAACACCATTTTAATCTGATTTAATTTTCAGCAGCACGAATACCTACCCGTGTCACTCTCTCAGTTTGTATGCCGTGAATTTTACATTTAAAATCAAAACATTTTAGTGAGGAGAATACTAGTATGAAAGCCAAGTAAACAAGGAGAGTACCATATATATTTTTATGAATAAGAAAACTGGTTCAAGGATTCTGATTAGTACGCGTTGCTCACGTGCCTTTCGTCAAGCACTGAGTTTCTGTTGGCTCTGAGCCAACTGTTAGGTAAATTCTAACGTTCGAATCTATTGTGTATTAATTTAATATGTAAGCCAAACAAAATACTAGCAATTTTTTTGTACTATTGAACAGGTCTCTTATAAACTAACATTTGTCTTAAACATTAAGTATCGCTTGTAACCTCATGAACTGATGCTGAAGTCAGAACGCAAACAAAATAAAGTAAAACCTAAAATAAAAATAAGCTTTATGTATTAAAACGATAAAATACTCAAGTCTTGACGAAAACTATGATTTTGCATAAAAACTTGTTACACTTTTTATAGGTAGTTATGCTTTTGATAGATTATGAACCGTCAACTCTAACGTGACAGAGGAATTATGTTGATATAATAATACCCTGTTAAATAATATAATTAAAGTTATTTAAATGAATAACATTATCTTGTATGAGGAATATCGATTAATCGAACGAAATGAAGCGTATGTAAATAGAGCTTGGAAAGGTACTTAATCATAGCCTGCCTGCCTACCTGGTACTTAATCAAAGAGTAACCACGAAAAAAATCTTTCGCGTATGACCTAAAAAATCACCCCAACATGAATCTTGAGCCACTTTACTTTTCTACAGAGTACGACAGATCATCATATCATGATCAGACCAATAATGATCTTGCCCAAGATACAATAGTACGCTCAGAAGAGACAAGCATATTTTATGCCTACATCAGCTGTCTTGGGATATTCTTTTTTAAGAGAATATTTTGAATTAATTTTTAGTTGAATAAGTTACTTTCACAAAATAACAGACATATTTAACAAAAGAACTGGGATCGGCTTCACATAAGCAATACCTCTGATCTAACACATGAATGAATAGAATGACTGGCTGCGTGTTTATGTGATAACTCAATGGTAGAAAACTGATTGTAGTTCCACAGTAATCCTGCATTTAGCGATTAGGATAATTTCTTCTGGTTATGTACTTAATGAGAATAATTACAAGTATGCCTTGTTTTACAGGTGCACATTTACTACTGTTCTTCTTGGCGTTTGTTTTCGGGTCTTTCTGCACATTCTGCTTCCATATGCTCATGTACCTGTTCGACGAAAAGTGTGTTTTGTTCCCAAAGCTGTTGTCTCTCACGTCCATGCGTCATAATGTCATTTACGAGTTTATGCCATCCAACAGAGACCTGTCTGACTGTAAGCTTATTCTTATATTTCTAGCAAAACGACAATTTTGATTTTTATAAGACTTGAAAAATATTAAATTATTGACTGCACGCTCACTACTACGCTGAGTGTTGTGGGTTCGAACCCCACATGGGACGACACTTTGTGTGATCCACAAATTGTTGTTCTGAGTCTGGGTGTTCTTTGTATTCGTTTCATGTATGTTTGTAAAGTCCCCCGCAACACAGGATATATTCCTAATCTGGGCGTTGTCTTTTCAAAAAAAAAACATGGTTATCGACTCAACATAATGTTGGACTATTGAATTACTTAAGATATATTAGATCTTAAGTACCTAATTCAATAGCCTAACATTACGTTGAGTTGGTAAATGTAGAAACATTTTTTTTCATTAAACATGAACGCGTTTATTGAAATAATAATTGCCGTAAGTGATATACATATTTAATAAATATGTTTTATTCAACGTTAAAAGTACTAAGTTTGTAAGTGTATATTCTGTCATTTGAGCTTCATTAGTAGGTACAGAACTTTGAGTTTTTGAAACGTACACAAAACAAATTTACTTTTTTTATGCTTAAATATGATGAAATTTGTGTTGCTTGTACAATTTATTCAATTACTTTTTAACAGTACCAGTAGATTTTGTGAGTACGCAGTGGGTTGAGAAGAGTACCTGCGCGCTTCCCACGTACGTGCCGCTCGTATCGGGTATCTTTGGCTTGGTGTGGACCACCATGTTTCTTATGTTTTCTACGGGCACAAGGACGCTCACCGGGTAGGTCGTTTATTTACTCGTATATAATGTTTTCATGTATACTTTAACTCCATACATAATTCTACGCCAGTTAATAATCAAGCCGAACTACATAGTAACTACTGATCCTAAATCTTGCAATGAAAGTTTCACTCAGTTTACATACAAGATCTCGCGATGACTTAGTCTGGTTGAAGGAAGATACGCAATTATGAAGGACGTGCGCAATAACCGCCTATCAACTAGAAATGCTTTAATTGCTTTTTTCAGATCTGTTTCTAAAATTTTTCTTTATAATTCTTTTTACACTATTTCTGACTTACGCCAATGACAAATTTCGTAAGTTACCATACTATTTCAATATTCAACCGACTTTAAAAAAAGGAGGAAGTTCTGTATTCCACTCGGTATTACTTACTGTCATTTGCTGGGAATACAAGTCATAATGCCACTTACGCGTACACCACCTAACACGCCCTCGCAGAAAGTTTCTGAAGGCGCCTGTTTTAGTTTTCGATCGATACGTCAATCAGGAGTAGGAATAGTGGAGTAGATCTCCAAACTTATCCGCTGGCAGTCAGGAAAATATCACCACTCGACGTAACGTAAGCGTAAACGAGAAGATGACGCGATTTGTATGAATGAGATTCGCTTGTTATTATCTGCCGCCGCTGTGCAGTCGTAGTCAAAATTTGTGGCTCTGCCATCATTAATATCTGCTATTAGGTACGCCACTTTCACCTACACGTACCTATCATAAACTATTTACAAGACATTGCATCAAATCGTAAACTACTCCGATAATAATTAAGTACTAACTTGCACCATTGGTCTGATAAACAAAACATTTTATAGACACATCGTTAATGTTTCCGTTATTAATGTAACTACCCACTATCGCAATTGATATCCTTGTCAATGCACAGAAAATCTTTTTAGACTTTCATTAACTGTTTTAATATGTTCGATAAATGAAAAGTTTCTTTCTAAAACTAGTCCTAAATAGAAGACTGAGGTTTTATTTCTTACAGTGACATTGTCATTGACAATGCTCGGTGGTGATTTAAGGTTACCCTTTAAAAGTACATAGTAGCTGGAAGGTTTTGTTGGGCGCAAAACTTAAGCGATATTACGCCAAAGACCAAAGAGATATTAAGTTCAAAAATCTATTTTTTAACTTCTCAAGCCCCGCCCTAGTATCAGATTCCACCAATAGTAAACATTTAAGATAAAAGTACATTTAAGTCTCAATTAAAAAGCTTCTCATTAAAAAATGTTATTATAATGTATTAGACTTTATCTCTGACAATTTGTAGCATGTGTTGTTTATTCTTTATAATTCTTGTTTATTCTTTCTGACATTAAGTAGGTAGTTTGACTTTGAATATTTGACATTGTATAATCTTTCTATAGTAATAAATGATGCTTATAATATACTCGTATAAGTTATTTTGTTTCAATTATATGCATGTATAAATTGAAAATTTGCAACCCATAGCGGTAAAGTGAACCTATTTGTGAATTGAATACCATGTAATTAATACCTGTGTTATGCAAATAAACAATCTGAATCTGAAAAATAGTCGGCTACTTACTAAGATTGCACTGTATTTATTAATACCTACTATTACAAACAAAAATCACACGTCGTAAAACAATACTGTCTTGTACGCCTAACACGCTCCGCTTTTATAGGGCTTTCGATAGGGCTATCGAAACAACGGACCCCTGGTATTCGATAGACTGCAGTTGTGCGTCACTTGATACTAGATGGCGCCGTTCTCTAGATTCCATACCACTCGAACTAACTATATAATACAAGAACCATTTAATCCTATGGCTAGAGGAGTGGTGGCTAGAGGTTGCCCCCAGGGCGGTGTACTCTCCCCCCTTCTATGGAACATTGTTGTGGATGAGCTCATCGCACAACTTAATGACCAAAGATTCCTCACAATAGGCTGTGCAGACGATCTTACTATTCTCATCAGCGGTCCTTTTGAGAGCATTACATGCGATCAAATGAGACTTGCACTGAAGATCGTGGAACAATGGTGCGTAGCACACAACCTGACAGTGAACCCATCCAAAACAGAGATGATCATGTTCACAAACAAACGCAGCCTAGGGAATCTCAGACTTCCCAAGCTATTTGGAACACAACTTACTCTTACCAAAGAGGTCAAATACCTAGGAGTAATACTGGACAGTAAACTCCTGTGGAATAAGCACCTCGATGAAAAACTGAATAAAGCCTGCATTATTTATACTATAGAATTTATAATAGAATTTAGTGCCGTAGAAATACCGAAATTAAATTGTATTTTCATTGGTTTATACAGAGCAGACCGACACATTAATACATTTTTTGAACAGCTAGAGAAAGTGTTACATAAATTAAACACTAAATACAAAAATAAATATATTATATTGGGAGGTGACTTCAATATAAACATTTTGAACAAAAATAAACAGACGGAGAATCTTATCAACTTAATGTTTTCAAACAATCTCAAACAGATTATCAGAGAACCAACACGTGTATCAAAAGGCTCCTCAACCTGCATCGATCTACTCTTCACTAACCACATGCCCATTATTAATAAAGCCAGCGTCCAAGATTATGGTCTCTCTGATCATAAGGGTATTACACTAAAAATAAAATCGAAACACTCTTATCCTAATAATAACACAACCTGGTACTTACAGAAAAGACTATTCACAGAAAGGAACATATTACATTTTAACACTTCATTAAATGACATAAAATGGCACGAAATAATCAACACACACAACAATTTAAACACCAATTACGATTTATTTCTCAATATATTGACTAAATTACTTAATACACACATACCGATAAAAAAGCTGAAAATAAATAATAAACCAAAAAAAGAATGGCTCACTACCGGCCTTAGGAAATCATGTGCACACAAAAGAAAATTAAGGGCCTTTCTGAATGTGAATGATAATGATATTATACATAAATTTTATAAAAAGTATAGCCAAACCCTAAAGCGTAGTGTAAACATATCAAAAAAACTTGATTTTTGTAAACAAATGGAAAACTCCGATAATAAAACAAAAACAATGTGGAATATCATAAATCAAAAAACAGGTAAACAAAAAAAAAGACTCCCTCCACAAAATATATCATTAAAAATTAACAACCACATTGTAACATGTCCAACAACTATTTGCAACAATTTCAGTGAGTATTTTGCTACTGTGGGTATGGGCACGAATAACAATAAAACCAACAAAAACAGTGCGCTGGGTCGACCCGTCATAAACTCACGAATGTGCTCCATGTACCTGCGTCCTGTAGATAGAAAAGAAATAATCGACATAATACGCTCAATTAAAAATACACACAGCTGTGGCATAGATGAAATCCCCCCAATTCTATTGAAACAGTGTGCAGAAAAACTGTCAATACCGCTCACATTTTTAGTTAATCAAAGCCTTCAAGATGGCCAATTTCCAGACCCCCTAAAGATATCAATAATCAAACCGATACACAAAAAAGGCGACACCTACACACCTAGTCATTATAGGCCTATTGCTCTGTTACCCACATTTTCGAAAGTATTTGAAAAAACAATGTGTAACAGATTATACGATTTTTTAGAAAAATATAACATTCTCGATGATAGTCAAAATGGATTTAGAAAATCAAGATCAACTACACTAGCAGTATATAAGTATATCCAGACTACCATAAAACATATAAATGACAAAAAACATGTACTCGGAGTATTACTTGACATGACGAAAGCCTATGACAAAGTATTGTACGACATTCTTTTGAATAAACTAAGCGGTTCTGGTATTCGCGGCCCAGCTTACACATGGTTTCGATCATATTTAGAAAATAGATCACAAATGGTCCAAATTGACCATTTCGACCCCAATACGAATGAGGTTAAAATGGTCCGGTCTGAAAAAAGGAACATAAAGTGTTCAATCCCGCAGGGCAGCGTGTTGGGTTGTGTGCTATTTCTGATATACATCAACGACTTACCAAAAGTACTAAACAAGGAACATACATTACCTGTCCTATTTGCTGATGATATATCAATACTAATTACTTATGACAAAACCACAAAGCCGACACCACTACTTCAGGAAACTCTAGATACAGTAAATAACTGGCTCAACGACCATAACTTAGAAATTAACTATAACAAAACAAAAACTATCCAATTTAGAACATACAGAAACACCCCCGTAAACATCGACACAACATACAATGGCACACAACTAGAAACTGTAGATACATTCAAATTACTTGGTATAACTATAGACACACACATCAACTGGAAAGCACACATCGAACATACAAAAAATAAACTGTCTCGATTTACATATGCTCTATTCCAACTTAAATGCAGCACAAACGAAAAAACCGCACTGTCAGCATACTACGCATACGCATACTCCTGGTTACGATACGGCATTATGTTGTGGGGAAACAGTGTACACTTTCAGGATTTATTTATATTACAAAAGAAATGTATTAGAATTATCGGACAAATTGGAAATCGTGATAGTTGTAGGCCCTTCTTCATTAAATATAACATCCTCACACTACCATCATTATACATATTTGACATCTGCATATTTGTATCCAAGAACATGAGTCACTTCGCGAGAGTAAAAGACAATCACAATTTAAACACACGCCACAGAGACAGACTATACCTACCACCATCAAGAATTAAAATGCTACACCAGAGCCCTTACTACATGGCTGTAAAAATATACAACAAATTACCTATCCACATAAAAAATGAAACGAAGACTACACTATTCATTAAAAAACTAAAAGCATTCTTAATTACAAAATGTTTCTATTCTGTTAAAGAATACATTGAGGAAAAAAACACTTAACAAACTACATTTCTTATTACACGGAAAACAGAAAGCATATACCTAAGTACAAATCATAAAAAGAAAAATCGGTCGTGATGCTCGGAAATGCTAGGGACAGTAGGAAAATGTGTATATGTATTAGTGATGTAGAATGTCGGGTGCCTTCGTATTTTTGCATGCTTTATTTGATTGTTATACTGTACTATTAAGTCACTTAATTTGTATTGTTCAAAAAATGCTTGTACTTGTGTAACAATTTATTCTTCTGCGTTCTCTCTCAAATTTTTGCAATGCCTGAAGAAGGCTTCTGAGTTGGGACTACTACATATAATATTATAAGATCATTGATGTACACTTGGTTGGCAAATAAAGATTTGATTTGATTTGATTTGATTATTTTCTGCCAATGCAAGCGGCTACTCAGCAAAAGCTGGGGACTATCACCCAAAATTACTTTATGGCTTTACAGGACAGTCATAAGACCAATAATCACTTACGGTACGGTGGCAGAGAACAGAGCTAAGCACCGTCATAAACAAACTGCAGCAATTCCAGCGACTCCCATGCTCCGCGGTCACTGGCTGTATGCGCACTACGCCTACTGCCGCACTGGAGGTGGCTCTTGGTCTGCCACCCCTGGATCTATTCATACAGCAGGAGGCCGCCATGGCGATCATTAGACTCAAACACCTGGGTCTATGGCACAAAAGTGAGGGATCGCACTCCAAATTATGGGATCAATTGGTGGAATACGAACCACTGATAGCAGCTCCATGCGATAGAATCCCAAAACACCATTTCTTCACAAGAAGATACTACATCCAGATACATGGAAATGACCGAGATCAATCCGGCATTAACGAAGTCCGAATTTACACGGACGGCTCCAAGACTAGGTCAGGAACTGGAGCCGGAGTTTTCTCACAAGACCTAAATATAAACATATCACTAGCGTTAGGCCAACACAGTTCCATATTTCAATGTGAATGTGTGGCAATGACTTACGCTGCTACAACGGCCATGTCAAGGTGTATCAAGGACTACAAAATCCGAATAATATCCGACAGCATGGCCGTCTTAAAGGCATTGGAGGGCAACACAATGACCTCTGGTGTTGTCTTCGAATGCCACCAAGCACTGGAACAGCTCGCTACATTCAATGGGGTACTCCTCCAATGGATTAAAGGGCACAGTAACTCACACGGAAACGATGCCGCAGATGAGTTGGCAAGGAGGGGCTCGGCAACCCCAACCTCTGGCCCAACCCCACTCCTGCCCATATCGTTTAACCAAATACGATGCTGGGTCAGGCAACGGACCTGTGAAGCACACAACCGGAGGTGGAAAAACTCACCCGGCTGCAGACAGTCCAAACTGGTGCTGAATCAAGTCACACCACGACTCACCTGCAGATTGATTGGTCTTAGCAGACCGGAAATCAGAATGGTTGTCGGAACTATTACAGGACATCTAGCCCTGAACCGACAACTATTCATAATCAATGCGACGGACAGTCCCCTGTGCACGGGATGTCTGGAAGCTGAAGAAACGGCCGTCCACGTAGTCCTGGAATGCGAGGGAGTGGCCACACAACGGGCAAGTATCATTCCTGATATAAAGTCGCTCCTAGAAGCCTGTGAACCCCCCAGGAGGCTTCTGCGCTTCTGGAAGGAGCTTGGCTGGCTCACCTAGTCAACCAATCCTCGACGCATAAAGGACCACTCTGAGTCTAAATGCGGCAACCGAAGCCCACAACCAATACCAATACCAATACCTGTGGCGCAACAACACTTATAACATTCTGCGTTTGGTAGGCATGTTTTTTTTTTTTCCTGATTTAATTGAATTGATTTTATATTTTATTATTATTTTTTAGTGACCTACTATTATTTAATGGTATTAAATACCTTATTACCAGGTTACAGCGGCCTTGGCGTGTGCTAACCCCCGTGTTTATGTTCTCGTTAGCAATGAGCATACTATGTATCTACTCCTCGGTGATGACACACTCCGGCTTGCAGGAACTTTGCGTCAAACTCGGCGAGATAACTGGGACATCTACGTTAGTAACATAATAATATTTAGTAACGTAAATAGCTGATATTTATTACTATCATTTGTTGACGCTAACTCCATGCACAGGCTTACGAGTTTATACTTACCTTTAGCATTAAATTGAAATAAATAAATACGCACATACACTCACGTCCAAATCCCCAAAGAGATAGACAGGCATATTAAACGCTTACGTTTTTGCGGGCGCTTTAGGAGTTAGATGGAAAATTGGGGAATAGCAAAAGAAAAAGGATTAAAATAAAATTTAAGCTCAATCCATGCTGAACGTATTGAGTTTTTGAATTATACACAAACCAACTTAACGTTTTTAAATAATAATTGTTAATATACAGATATTACCATAATATTTATAATAAATTCTAATAATGAGAAAACTCCTTTGAGAGACCACTAACTACCTAAAAGCTTGTCTCGACTAAAAATGTTGTATCATATTGTTGTATAAGGATAACTTAGTGTTGTATAAATTTAAAATTTTGAATAAAAGGTTGACTAAATTTTATAAAATTGGTTAAAATTATACATTGGAGAATATTTTAGTTCGTTTCGTTGGTTTCTTTCGTTTCGTAATTTCAGTTGGTGAAAACATTGAAAAAAGATTTTGGTCAAATTGAATTCTTACAACCATGTAATCATGTCATCTTATCAATGCCATTATATGTAAATGTACATATTTATATTAAACCATTAAATACATCAAAAGTTTTCATACTCTCTATCTCTTATATTATGAGTAAAGTAAAGAGATTTAAGTACTAAATATTAAAACTACATATTATGAGTAATCCTATGTTGCACCACACGCGTGCAACTGACGTAGGCACGTGACACTCCTGCGCGGCTGCGTACTACCGGTTAGCAAGCGAAGCCGGACGGTACTACCGTCGCGGGCATGAGAGCGACTCCGCTCTCCTTCATACCTCGCCCCAGCGTTGCTGAGTACACGCACTATTAGTATTTATTATACATATGATATTACTCAGGTGTACGTACGCAGTTAATGTGGTGACCCTGGTGTACGAGCGTCGCATCCGCGGCGTGTACCAAGCGACGCGGCTGACTATCGTCTCTGCGTGGCTGCACACTGCCTGTTGGATTTGCTCAACACTTCTTACACTTCTCCGAGTCGTTCTAGCTGTCGACTTCCAACTCGTTCGCGTAAAAGTTAGCCTTCGCGCCGACCTTGATATGTTGATGGTAATGATACTTTATACTAGTACTTTAGGTACACATGATTAAAACTTAAAATCAAATACTAAACCCTAATTAAATATTCAGAAATCTTAATATATAAATATTGATCATAAATGTTTCTAAAGTTAAATACTCTCTCTGACAAAACATATATTGCGCTTATTGTACAAGTCTCCCAAGATAATTTTCACGTTTGTGGTTTAATTTTACGCTTTGGGTTTTAGTTTCCATTCTCAACGTTAAAATCAAAAGAATCGCCTTGAGTTTGTTTAAGTGATGAAAAACGCAACCCAATGCGGGGTGGGGTCACGGGGATTCCTCGACTTTGAGGATCGGGAGAGCCAAAACAATTGAAGAATCATTCAATCGAAAGTGTGTGCAAACTTTTTAAGTCTCAATTCTGTTGCCCAATCCGATACTTGCGCAATCCCTTACTCTTGGCTTCTTCGCTCTTGGTTCCTGCTTCATATCTGTTCCCTATTTCTTTGTTCCTTATTAAAACATTCCCAAAGAGATATGACATCAGGTAGGCGGCCGGTCAATAAATTAACTAGTCCCAAATGAAATTAGGTAAAGAGCAGAACGGGGACGATGATGATGTATGCACTAAGTGTATTAAAATACGTGAAACCTTTCATACTAAGCAGAAATAGATTCTGATTCAGGGAAATATTTTTGAACATAAGTAGGACGCATGGTCCTAATATTTGATGTTCTGTACCTTGTGATGCAAGAAATCCCTCTATATATTTATTTATTTTATGATATAACAAACGAGCAGACAGGTCACCTGATGATAAGCAACTACCGCCGGCCATGGATACCTGCAACTCAAAAGTCACAAGTGCGTTGCCGCCCTTGGAGTCTCTCCCGTTGAGTCAGCGGAAGGTGGGATTTGGACTCCGGTAACCTCACTCACTCAGTGAAAGGCAACGAAAGAATTGCTTAACACTGGTTTTCTATGAGGCCGTGGTATCACTGCGGTCGAGCCGACCCATTCTTTTATTTTTATTTTCCAGGAGCGAAATGAAACTCATCTACGAACTGTTTCACCGGATGACCCACGAATGAAAGACGTTCACGCAACAGCAGTGGAATGTTTCGAAAGGTTAGGAGATGATGTAACTGTTATTTTAAAGAAACACAGTGATTCAATATCCTCAAGGGAACGCCAAACTTCTGAACTGTCGTTAGTTCCTGCAGAACAGAACAAATTGGACAGAATCAGGGCATATCAAAAGGTACCTCGAGATCAAAAATTCATTCCCCAACTACTATATGATATTTTAGACAAAATATGCCCTTCTAGTGTATCTACTCCTTATTTAGATTCCATTAAGTGGGATGATCAGATTTGTGAAACTACAGACAATTATAACATACCTAAGAAAAGGTCATTAAAAGCGCGGGAACGTTACAACATTCAAAATACTATTGAGGAAGGTGAAATCATAGTCAAAGAACTACTAAATGATTTACTTGACAAATTAGAGGATCAGTTATTGGAATTGAAATATCCTACCTCAGGGCGATATATATACAGAAGTGAAGAGTCTTTTATGACTGCACCTGATTGGATAAAGCCTGATTTAACCAAAGAAGAACTCGATCAATTTGATGAAGAAAAGAAGAAAAAATCAAATTTAAAGAACGCCAGCTCACAAACGCGGGATGAAAAAAAGAAGAGTACCCAGAAAAGGGTACTAATTTCTGAATCAGCGGACGATAAGAACGACGACCCAACAGCAGATAATATACAGGAACCAACAAACCAACAGGGGACAACAAATCAACCAGGGCCGTCAAACCAACCAGGGCCATCAAACCAACAAAGGCTAGCAAACCAACCAGAGCCTTCTAATGAGCTAGAATCACAATCCAGCCAAACTGAAGTGGAGAAGGAGAAAAACGTCCGGAAAAAGGAAAAACTAGATTAGGAAGAATATAGAACAAGTCAACTCATATTGATAATAAATTATATTTTTTGTAGATTTGATTAACTCGGGTATAATGCGAGCACCATAACTTGAGACCTGAACGCGGTGACGTCACAGACATGCGTTTATACAGAGTGCACATAAAGTAGCACTACAAGCTTCAATGCAATTTTTAATGTAAAAAATAACATAGATATAGTGTTGTACTCAAAACAACCACTTTATTATTATACTGAGCCTAAAAGCCTTGTCCGTGTAGTGACGGATTAAGAATACGGAATGTCACTACCCCAATTCATCCCGTGGGTGTCGTAAGAGCCGACTAAGGGCGCAAAACAACGCAGGACACCAGCACTGCAAAAAGAAGGAAAACTTGACACAAACCCTATACCAACCCGTCTGGCCAGCGTAGTATAGTAGGCCAAATCCTTTTTTCTAAGGAGATGCCTATGTCCAGCAGTGGACTATTAAAGGCTGTTGATGTTGATGTGATGATGTGAGCCTAAAAACTAACAATATTGTTTGCGTGTAGTAGTATATACTACGCTACAACAACAGCCCCGAAAAAGTAGTACTAAAATTAAATGTATTTAATTAAGAATTGCAACTAATTATATAATGTATATATGTATCTTTTTCCGACAAGATTAACAGCAAAATGAAACAGATAGTCTAATAACAATACAATAAAAAGATTAACAACAAAATGTAACAGATAGTCTAACAATAAAACGATAACAAGATTAACAACAAAATGTAACAACAATAGGAATGAGACGTCGTTACGTGATGTAGGTGTAGGTCAGTAGGAGACCAATACGTTAATAAAAAATCGGTTGTCTGTAAAGTCGGTTTACTGACGATAGTTGAAGGTGACAACGTCATAAGAAAATACTGATGGAATGGTTGCATTTTACGAAAACATGTAAATGTATTATTGTATAGCAGCTGTCCACGCGGACGCATCGCTCACTCAAGTAGGAGAGAGACAGATGTCAAACGCTGCCGAAGGCCGATTGTGCCTCTTTGTCGCTCGTTCCGCGCTCTCGCTTGCACTTCAAGCCTTAAATGGAACGCCTCAGAGCGAGGTAACGCCGCATGAGTCATGTTTTTTCGTGCGTGCAGCCGGCTCCATCGAATTATAAGACGTTGTCACGTCAAAAAATGGCGTTGCCTACAGTACAACGTTGGCACTCGAAGGGAAGTGACCGGGCTAGCGGGCGGGGAATCGCTTTCCAGGCAAGTCTCAACTTATCGCGCACGGATAGTCTCAAGATGTAATTTCTAGAGCATTTTAGGGGAAGTGAATGTGTTTTATGATTATTTGTTTTTGAATGATTGCGAAAAATTTACTTTGCTTTATGTACGAAAGAATTACTTGTCATACTATAATCAATTTACTTAAATTAACATTAATTGATATTAAATTCACTAAAATTCACATTTTACACAAACAATACTAGTATAAATTAAAATCCCCACAGCCTTGTGGCTTATATTAAAATTATATATATATATATATAAATTTTAGAAATATAAAAATAAAAACATTGTTTGACATTTCAACATGACGAGTGTTGATAAATAACTTGATCGTTCCGTTATAGCCTATATCTAGTAATTTTTATTTTAATATTTATTATATTTAATTTTGGGCGAACAACAAGCTTGTTAATATGTTAACATTACCACACTAGCCAATAGTATACTATATACAAATTCACAGAAATTATGATTGTAAAAGAAAATTATTTCTTAAATAATTAGCTGCGTAATACGGAATAATAATGTCAAACATGCGGAAACGTAATTGAGAACAGACTGTAAGTTCAAATCAATACTTGAAACTAGTTTCAACTGAGTAAAACTTACAACGCGTTCTATAGTAAAATCGATACTTAAGTTTTGAGCTGCACTTAAAACTAGTTTCAGGCACAATCGGAGTTCAACCGATACTTGAGATATCTTTTAAATTACGGGCCTTAGTAATCAATGTGTTGTACTAAATTTAATTCTAAACCGCTACTTAGTAATACATTATCTCCTCAAAACCTCCGCTAAAATCATTTGTTCTGTTACCTACGAACAACGAAGAAGTTGAAAAAAACATTAAGCTATTAAAAAGTGATTGCGCTCCTGGGTGGAATCAGATCAGTGCAGAGATTTTAAAAGTAACATCAGAATCTACAACACCGGTTCTCTCCCATCTGTTGAACCATTCTTTTGAGGAGGGAGTGTTTCCTGACGCATTCAGAAGAGCTGTGGTACATCCAATACATAAGGCGGGTGACAGAGGCAGTGTCAGTAACTACAGGCCAATTGCAATCTTAACATCGTTGTCAAAATTATTTGAACGTATTATTAATAATAGACTAACTGAATACTTAGAGCATAACAATCTACTATCATCTCATCAATATGGCTTCAGAATTGGCCGCTCGGCTGAAAACGCAGTTTTGACCTTGTTAACTTTCTTGTTGGTAAATTAGTCAACAAGAGTAAATGCTTAACCATATTTCTGGACCTTGCAGAAGCCTTTGACACTGTCTTTGTCCCCAACCTAGTACAAAGGCTCGAGGTTTTTGGTATCAGAGGCACCCCTGCATCATTAATATCTGACTACTTAAATAATAGAACCCAATGTGTAAAGGTAGGACAGTATGTCAGTGATGTACTGCCAAATGATTTTGGGGTGCCGCAGGGCAGCATTATGGGTCCAACTCTCTTTCTCTGCTACATCAATGAGCTCAGTAATTTAAAAATTAAAAATTGCTGTATATCAACATATGCAGATGATACTGCTCTTACGTTTTTCGCTGATTCATGGAGTGAACTTTTTGAAATGGCTCAAATAGGATTTAACACTGTGTGTCACTGGCTCAATACAAAACATAATCGATATAACAACCTACAACCATAATATTTTTGCACATAATAAATGTAACTTCCTACCAATAGCTACTTGCAACTGTCCCATCATTGAACGCACTCAATGCCTAAAATACCTTGGAATTGAAATAGACGCTAACTTAACCTTTGCAACCCACATTCATACTTTATCACAAAGGATACGCAAACTAGTTTTCATCTTTAAAGAGCTCCGAGATGTAGCAGAGAAACAAACCATAAGGATGGTCTACAACGCCATGGTGCAATCTATTTTGAGCTTTTGTATTACTACTTGGGGAGGTGCTTGTAAATCCAATATGTTAATCTTAGAAAGAGCTCAGAGGATGATATTAAAGGTAAGTAACATTTAAACCTCGTTTATTCCCTACTACGAAACTTTATGAAGAAACTCATATATTGACTGTACGACAACTATATATACTGCTAACCGTCCTTCACAAACATTCGAATTTGTCTCCAGATAGAACAAACCGTGTAGCCCAATCCCGCAGAAATTATGCAATATGTGAGCCGATACGAACTTATACTACCTTCGCACAAAGATTTTATATGTTCTGTGGATCTAAGTTGTTTAATAAAATAAATAAATTAATACCCATAGTGAACTGTACGAAGATAGAATGCAAAACCAAAATACAAAAGCTACTTCTCAATCTAACCTATTTAGAAACAGAAAAGTTGCTAGAGATAGTGGCGTAGTCTGTGTTAAACTCAATAATTGTATACACATATATATATTATGTAACATACACACACATACACTCACACACACGCGCGCACACACACGCGCGCACACACACACACGCGCGCACACACACACGCGCGCACACACACACGCGCGCACACACACGCGCGCATACACACGCGCGCACACACGCATGCATACATAAATATCCACGCAACAGCATTAATAATATTACCGTGAATTTATTTTGTGGGGCCTGGAGCTCTAAAATACAGGCCTAGGCTTAGTTTGGACTCCAGATCTCCCACAAATTACTAATTAAGCCACATATTTGTCAACTTAAATATTAAGATTTGTGTAATTTGTGGAGATTAACAAAAAAAAAGATTATCACGTTTTACTGCCTATAATAAATACGTAACACAAACATATGTCATTTCATTGCATGTGAAATTGAAGAAGTTTTTGAAATTAGTAAGAATTCAAATTTCTAGATTTTCAGTGTGTAGGTGCGCCGCTGTGATTTATCTCACGCGTTGGTACATATTTATATTTTTTTGCGCGGAACCCTAATTGTTAACCCTAACATTACTTATATAAATTTATCAGTAAAAGTCCACCCAATCGGTCTATCTGATTAAGAGACTAGAAACCAGCCAGAAAGAGAAATATTTTCAAATTTCGCTATGAGTGTAGCGTAAACATTAATAAAAGAGCTTTAGTGTGATTTTACAACTCTAATTATATTTATTTGTATAAATAGTTGTAAAAATTATCAATATCCTCGTGCACTGCTTATGCGAGTAAGGTCTACTTAAATCTCACCTAGGTACAAAACGCGACTCAGAAGGCAAATTCTCGTAGTAAATTTTCGATCACAATTTAATTCCGATCTACTGTCCATCTCACAAATGTCAAAAAAAGGTATTTTCGTAGTAAAGTAATAATAATAATCTGCTACCACATTCACACAACTCCATCTAGTCCCAAATAAGCGGCGCTTGTACAACGGCTACTAGCCAGCTGATATAAATACTTAATTATATACATTTTTATAAATACATTCATATTATGCATAGAAACACCTAGATCAAATCAAAAATTAAATGTTCATGCACACAAATGTTTGACTTGAGCGGGAATCAAACTTGCGACCTTGTTGGATATATTTGTGACCGTAAGTTAATAATAATAATACTTTTTATGACATTTGTGAGATCGAGAGTAGAATTGTTGTCGAATTTTTATTCGAGACTTCTTAGCTTAAGCCACACACCTCCCTCGGCTGCGTAAACTAACGATGAATTCTTTATCTTCATTGGCACGTGTGTTCTGTCGTCAAGCAATAACTCGTATTTATGCAGCACTTTGACCAGCGCCATCTTTGATTGGATATATCCTTGCCGTATACCTGTAAAAATATTTTATGGTTAAATTACATAATTATAGCAGTTTTATATACTTATAGCTATATAAGTATTTGAGTTCCAAAATAAATCTTTTCTTTCTTTCTTTCCATTTAAACGCAATTTAAACTAAGATTTTATGATAAGCTCTAGAAATCAAATACAAATTATTTTGAAGAAAAATAACAATCGAATCGAATATTCGTAAACAAATTATAAATAAGTATATTATGACATACAAGTTTTGGGTAGCCATAATTAGGATGCTGAATTATTGTAATTTTATCTATATTTTATAATGGGATTAAATATAATAGCCATCAAAAAATAATTTGTAGCCCTGAACAGCGCTGCTATCTGAAGCACAGATATTAGGTTCTAGGATTATATATATAGATAGGTTAGGATTACAGTTCAGATACAAATGCCCACTGAATTGTATTCCTTGTTAAACTGTATCTCAGTATTGGTATCATAGAAATTAAGATTACTTGGCGAAAAGTAACGAAACTACTGCTTAACATTGGTTTTCTGTAATACCGTTGTATCACTCCCACGAATCGTATGTATTACTAAAACATATCGTAGGTATATAGTTTCGTAATATCGAAGGTTAATACGCTTGTAAAACCATTAGCGTTATTATTATTATTAGCAGGTTGCGGCGTATCTAAATAACTGTCGAGTCATTGGCTTAACCGAATAAACATTGCGATGCAATCGGGTGAAATAACAGTTTTTAAGCAATAACTTTATTAGCTGTAGGTCATCAAGCACCTTAATATTTGTTTTAATCGGACGAAAACCTTGGACAACTACGTTCTAAAATACACCATAGGCTGCCTAATATCGAAGGTTACTGGACAATGTAACGGTTTCTTGAATTTAAAACTTGAAATATATGTGAATATTAAAATTAAGCTTAAGATTTTTTTAAGAAAATCAGTGAAAAAAATTAATAGACAATCATCACCACACATAGACATTATCTAGATAATGAGTACCTTCTAACGTCTAGATAAAGAGTGAATAACTTTTAGGAAATAAACCCAAAGCAGCAGTTGGGAACATGATCGCCTCGTTTTATTCTAGATCCATTTGGAATGAAGTTGTACCTACTACATACTTTCAGTATACTGAAAAGGGTAAATAAAAAGAATAAATAATCGCTTCATAATAAAAAAAAAAAGACGTGTGGCACTCGGGGACTGCCGCGGTAAAGCTATTACATAGCATTTTGTATCAACTTATGCAATTATAATTATTTATTTATTTTATTTATGCAGTATTTCTTTTTCTTTGATATTAATTCAAGTTACACTTTTTGAGCGTGGTGACCGATAAGAAAACAATTTTTTTTTCTTTTATTTAATAAAAATATTGAAGCATATATTACAATTTGTTTTCAAATAAATAAATACAAAATATTATTATTAAAGCAAAATACATATCCATGTAAGATTTTTCTGCATTATGTTGGCGAAATTTCCTTTGACGTTCAGCATTTGATTTTGGTACTGTTTTTTGTTTTGTTTTTAGCGTGAGGTTTTTTTTTGTTACGGAATTTCTGGATTCGGTCCCCGCGCTCAAGGCCCTCGATAGAAGCTATGCAATAGCTTAAAAATACACCTTCAAATATAGTGGTAACAAAATTTGCCAATGAACGCGATTCGGCTATGAGTACAATTCGATGGGAACGTCAGATAAACAACACTTTATCTGTTTCATAATTGTACTTAATTTTTTAATATCGTTCGATCAATGTTTCGAAAAGGACCTTCCTATGTTATTGTTAAGCTCTGCAATGTTCTATCCTCCTCTTATTTCTTATTATTTTTAATGACTGAGAAAATAAATTTTAATATAATTTAACGAACCAGTTTCCTAATTTATTTTTTATAATTATGGTTCTGTCTATGCCCTAGGCGCATATCGGCACTATACAGCATGTGTATAGCATGTACAGTGTAATCTGCGTGTTCACCAGCTGATGTAACGTGTACAGGATTACTTTGAAATAGACATTATATGTCTAAGGATTACACTTTATATAAAATGTTACTTAAGACATTAACATAAAACCGTGATTTGCATCGATTTTAATTCTTCCATAATCTTACAACAACAACATAATATAAATAAATTAAGTTATGTAAGTGTTGATCGATGCGCGACGCGACGGTCGGCGATTTCGACACAACATTAGGATTCCTACTTTCCAAAGCTGCATTAAAATCACCTAATCTGCATCCATGCTGTATGACGTTTCGGTATTCTTCTGGGTTAAATTACTGCATCGTGTTTAAACAACAAAGTAGCTGCAACATAGACTAAATGTGCGAGGCTTGATGACTTAATAAAACGATTGATGCGATCGCTAGCAGTCGCTGCATCGCGCATATGAAACACCGCTGTACCTCGGCTGTTATTGATGTTAAAAGTATCGTGTGTTCTGCGGCTATTATTATAAAATCTTTAATTAAATTTTTCATATCTTTACACCTTAAGTCAATATAATGTAATGACAGTGATAATTTGGTGGTAATTAATGGTAAAATTTGAGTGACCTCAATTTGTTACAACAACAGCGTTGGTCAGGTCGTCAAGTCTTTTTTTGTTGGGTTGGAAAATCCCTTCGGGTCTCCTGCTCCTCGGGGACTCAGGAGCCAGGAGTATGTGGTGATTCCACTAAAAACCACCCCGACGGCCGGCCTCATGTGTACTACTCTGGGAGGACCCGGACTATGTTATTTCAGGTCCTACCCGAATTGACATCATGCCTAATCAGGCTCTATCGCAGGAAAAAACACTTCCCCCTCAATCGGCTTACGTCTTAATGCAATCAGGCTGCTATTCTATCCCCTATCAATCTGCCACCAGAGGTCCCCACTCTCTGCTGGCCCGCGGCCCCGTCGACGGCTGGTATCGGCGCCGACGTCCTGTACGTTCGGGATCGGTCCTCTCCCGATCTCGTTCAATGGTCTTTTTCTGGAGCCTTACAACTTTACAGAAAGAGACCACTGCACCCCAGCCCACCCTTTGGGACCAAAGGGAGGGCTGGGGTTCTTTTGGTCCCAGCCCAATCCTAGTTTGGTCTTTGAAAGGCAGGTCGTCAGGTCTACCCTGAGATTGAAATTAAATTATAACATTGTTAATTAAATCATGCGTATACGTAACCGAATAATCGTGATCGTAATGGTAAGTTATTGTAAGTTGACGAAATCTCGACTCATGCAGTTAACGACAAAGTTATACAAATTTTAAAAATGTTAAAAATAAGAACGTTTAGTGTTTTGAAATATTTTTTACGTTACCTAAGCATTTCTTTGGACCTTCGCCAAAAGGCATCCAGTGACATGGATGTAAATTAGCTTTGTTCTTAGGCGAGAATCTCTCTGGATCAAACATTTCTGGCTCTGAGAATATTTCTGGATCCATTTGTATAGCTTGGATTGGAATGAATACCATTGTCCCTTTTTCTATGACCAAGTCACTGTTGGGCAGTTTGTAATCCCTGTTGCATCGTCGAAATAATGCCCGCATAGATGGATGTATCCGCATCGTTTCTAGATTCAAAAAATACTTTTAATTATTTTATAGTCAAATCTTCCAAAATGAGAATAAGTCCCTAATTGTAAGATTTGTTTTATTGTTTTTACCTATTATTTCATAAAAAAAAATGGATTACTTTTTTTTTTATTTCTCATCTCAGCGATAAACAAATATCTATACATTTTATGAAACAAAACAATATTTCGTTTATTTAGGAATGTTCTACGATGTCTATAGTAATAAGATTGTACAAGAGAGTTGAATACTTAATACATTACGGTCCAGTTTCCGACACTCGAACAAATAAATGTGTTGTAATTGGACTTATGATTATTCTTCAAATGCATAAGTTGTAAAAAATAAATATCTACCGTCTAACACCATATTCAAATACACCATCTCGTTCTGAGCCTCATACGTGCACTCCCCTCCATACTTCTCCAGAACCCTTACCACCTCTTCTCTTGCTCTAGCTTGAATGTCAGGGTTCAGAGCTAGTTGATAGGCGGCGAACTGTCCCGTGGTAGCAGAGGTCTCATATCCCGCAATCATGTACAACATAGTGTTGGCTCCTACGTCGTTCATAGAAAACGGGAAATCTGTCACACACTTTACGTTCCCTGAAATTATAATTTTAATTTCTAATTATCACAATATATATAAAACATTACATATTCATGTCGTTTTCTTTTATTAATTCTATTTTACAATAAACTTTTGATTATCGTATTTCAAGTTATCTTTGGACTAATACGTAATAAAAATAGTACGCATTTTTAAGAAAACACGTATTGACAAGAGTGCCAAATTGGATATGAGTTTTATATATTTAGTAGAAGTCCAGAAAACTTACCTTTATTTAAATAATTATCGTCAAATATCAGCGTAGATTTAATTATTATCCATTACATTAATTTAAAGTCGGTTTAAATATAACCAAAATCCTGAAAATAAAGATATCTTGTGTAACCTACCGTTTTCGTCAACGACATGTCCATTCTTTAATTCGATTAGTGTCTGCAGAAAATCATTCCTCTTCAAGGAATGTTTCTGCCGAAATTCAACGGTATTCTTCACAATCCCGTAGAAAAAGTTTTCTATTTGAGCGCTGATTCGTTTGATTTTTAATTTATCAAACGTGTCCGGAGCAAAGAAGGCAAATGCTCGGACGATTCGCCTAAAAATGTAGTCTGCTGTAGTTTTTCAATAATACTAAGTAAAAAACATACATCACAAAAAATACATAAGCATACATAATATTCTAATTAATATTAAAGTTGTGTATGGGCTTCTTTTTATTGTATTGTATTCTATGGATCATCGAATTTTCCACGCACTTTTTAGGGGTTATCGTTTAAAAAAACGATTTCCGAGGTATTCCTGATTGCCTTACAAAATCTAGGAGCATAACTTGTCTTATTTTAAGTAATCCAATAGCCGGTTTACACTGGCCCTAGTTTCATTACTAAAACTGTTTCATTCATTTGTTGTTTATCTTTAAAAGGCTTTTAATAAAGGGGTAAAATAAATAATTTTTGGAGTGTAAATTTCTAGGGCCTGGAAGATAGAACCGAACTCCTAACTATATAACAGTCAAACCGCTCCATCACGTTGTATTGGATCGAACAGAAGTTAAATATATGTAAAAGCAACTTTGACTTACCAATAAAAAGACTGATGGTCAAAATATTCATGTCCTCGTAAATAGAATTCGGATTTGGGATTTGTAAACCCGTTACACTCCACACCAAACCCAACATTGCCAATAATTTCCATAGAATACCTAGAGTAAAATTCCGAAAAATTTACAATCTCCTTATTAAGGTGCAATAGATCTATGTATTTCAATGCTTGCGTAGCAATCTTTTCGACAATAGGATATATTGTTTTTAATTTTCCTGGCGTGAACGTAGGGGTCATCTTCAACCGTAAACTCTTCCATCTTTTACCAGAAATATTAAATAAATTCTCAGCTAAAGGGTCTCCGAGGCCCCCGGCATATGTTCCACGCGAATGAAAGTAATCAAAGTCTTTTATCAATATGTGCTTCGCTATCTCCGGGTCGTGTACCGACAACACAGGCTGATGAAAGGAGTACATACTAATGTACGGCAAATGTTTGTATTTGAAGTAATTATCGATGTATGGCTGAAAGAACTGTGTTTTTCTTATGATTACGTTTTTAATATTTCCAAAAATAAATTCTGGTTTGGGTCCAAAAACAGCTCGTCTCTTCCAATAACTAAATTTATGACGAAACCATAGGACAGTGTACATGAAAATAACGATAGCACATATTAAGGTTTTGGGGTTTAATATTTGCGTTATAAAAAACGACATTTTGCACAAAATTTTGCATATAGTTTAAACATACAAACACAGATGACACTATTTTCTCGCGTTTTACCAAAAATCCAATACCTATCTGTAAATAATATATTTTCGTTTTCGTTGGAATTTAATATTTAAATCACTTTTCTATTTGAGTTGCAAAATATATGTTAGCCTGACTGCGATACCGATAGCGAAGGCTGCACTCACAAGACTAGAGTTGACTCGTCTTTCAAAATATTAATACACTGAGGTCGCAACTGACTTTAGTGGACTTTAATTCTGATTAACTATTGAACAACTGCTGTGTCTTTAATTATTTTTGTTTTACAGGCAATTGAATATGAAGTTCGAGATTTGTATAAAATTTTCAAAATATAAAAAAATTGGTTATTTTTTATTTTAACAAATCAAAGTCCTGGCCCAAATTATCTATACAATTTCGCCATTTTTATGACAGTTAGTTTATCCCATTACTGTAGAATTCCGCTGGACAGGAGGCGATGACGTCACCGAAAGAGTTCTGTACTGCCTCTCGGGTGTTAAATTTTTCAAGTTCCGGTAAGTACGGTGGGTAACGGAGAGCTTCTAGCTGTAATTCTTTTAATTTTTGGGATGGTCTATAGTAAACTGCTTGTAGTGAGCTTGCGAGTTATTGTGGAAAAGCAATAAGGAAGAGCGATTGACCAGTCGTGGGTGTTGAATTGCGAGCTTCTCCATATTTGTTTGCAATTATTGGCAATAGACATCTGCCGTCACTGTTGTGCCATTCGTATGGAAACTGCGATGTATAAGTCCAGCACTGGTCCACCATTATCTTCTTATAGGTAATCTTTTTTTTAGCGCACTGATTATGTGCTGTACCCGGGTCCCGGGTCGCTCGCTGGTGGTCGCTTAGTTCGTGTAGCACCCACTAATCTAGCTTTTTATCTTTCCGCAAGTGCTTCAATGTTGTTTTGACACTAACTTTAAAGCCCGCAGCAAGCTCAGCCGTAGATTGAGTTACACACACACAGATAATTAAATCTGAAAATGATGGTTTTAAAAATCTCCAACTTGATAGGTTATTATAACATGAAGATAATTGTTATAAACCGCCTTCAAAAACACAAAAGAGGAGGTTATCAATTCGTCCGTTTTTTTTTTGTATGTTTGTTACGCGTTATACGTTATACTCGTATTATCTCCGTCAATTGTAGACCGTTTTTTTTTGTAATTGTTATGGATGGACCACCAAATCAGGATTTAATGATGGGATCCTAGAGAAATCGAGGGAAACCCTCAAATTTTACAGGCCAGACAAAGTGTTTTAGTTTGTTTGTCTAGCTATATAGGTTGCATTTAGTAGGTAGTCGTTATGTCATGTTGCTGAGCTGATGATTTAAGGGTCCTTGACCTTTAGAAGTTTGACTTGAATAACTCTTTCAAGAATCTAATCAAGTATTGACTTTGTTAAATTCTTTCAAGATATTTGTTAGGTGTTTGTGTTAGGATACAGAGATTCATATGTGCACAAAAGAGTAATATATGAGATTACAAAACATTTAGACTAAAATAAATGTTTGTTACGCAATTATTAGCATGTTTGATACCTCAAAATTATTTCATTTGTAAACCGATTATAAAAATTAATTGTTTATTTGGAGAGGTATATTTCCCCTTTAGTTCCATTCAAATTTAAAAAAGATACCACTCTTAGTTTTGGTAAATTAAGTAATGTGGAAAACAATATTTTTTTCGGTTCAAATGTAACATCTTACTTGTTTATCTAAATAAAGTCACGGACTTATTAAACTATATTTAATATAATCTAACATACTAGTTTGGTACTACATACATACATTACGGTACGTAGTGTTTTAAATAGGGTACTTATCTATTCATTACACACCTATCTCACACCAAAAATGGTAAATTAAATCCTTTTAAAAAAAAGTTGAACCGACTTCAATAAATAGTGACAAAGAGCACTAAAAATTAAAAAAATATTACAAATCTAAGTAAAAAACTATTATAAGTACCCTCAATATAACAGGTAACATTTTATTTTATATATTTATTCAGATACATTCACAATATTTTACAGGAATACACTCCCAAGGCAAAATTGCAAGCTTATAACTAATCGTCTAAATGTCTAAGAATCTAAATTACATAATTATATAAATGATTTTGAACAAATTAATATTAATAAAAATAATGAATGTAAATTATTTATATGTGCGAAATAACGCAACTTTGTGCTACTTCACTCACCCTTTTTTTTTTGTGCGGAAATCCCCTCGGATACCACTTACCGGTGGCAATGTCGAACTCGAACCGACTAAAACCGCACGCCGTCTCAGGTACCAGTAATCGGGGAACCAGGTGTACCCTAGAAAGGAAATCCCTGGTGCCCCGACGTAACTCGGGCCATCTACGGCGGGTAGACGATCCCCCCTGTGTGCAACGCAAAGCAACGGGCTCGCCGCCACCCTGGCCTGCTTCTGCTAGGGTATATATATATGGCCTCACCTGTCTCCCCCAGGCCTGCGCTTATGGAGGACGGAGGTCGTTATGCGACCTCCGTCGCCTGGAGCGCCGTGTCCACGGTCTGACCAACGCAGTGGTGGCACTCAAGCGTTGGCTCTTTGCGGATCAGACACAGGTGATCCCTGAAACATCCTTTCCCAGTGATCACCTGCGTCAGTCGGTATGAGAGGGTCCCGTGATGCCTCTCGAGCCAATCCTCCATAACGGGTCTTACCGCAGCAATGACGGTGTGCCCGGCGCTCGGTTGCTCAAGTCGTTCCTTCCACTCCCCTACGAGGACCCCGCGGAGCTAGGATTTCCGGTCATCGATTTCTTGAGTCTCAGGACTCCGACCCAACTCCCGCGCCTCCTTGCGCCACTGACACAGAGCCACAAGGGCACTCGCCTCCAGGTCCCACGGTGGAGTTCCGGCCAGGAGACTCGGCGCCTCAAATGGGATCGTGCGGTACCCCCTTATGATCCTGATGGCCAGCACTTGCTGCGGTCGTCGCAGTAGTGCAACGTTGCTGGCCTTCAGGGCACCCTCCCATACTGGGGCCCCATAAAGGGCCATGGATCGCACAACCCCCGAGTAAAGTCTCCTGCAGGAGTCATCGGGTCTGGTCCCCAAATTGATTGGGGCAGCGCGTGCATTGGCGCTGATCAATTTGGGGACCAGACCTCGGCAATGATGTCCGAAGTCCCATCGGCCATCGAGTACGAGCCCCAGATACCTAATCGAGGGCTCGATGCCGATGCGAGTGCCTCCAACTATGAGGCTAGATCCCTCAGGTGGCTTCCTCCGAAGCCCATGGAAGAACAAGGCCTCGGATTCGTGCAGAGCCACCTCGAGACCCAGCCGCCGGACTTGCTCAACAACTTGGGCAACCCCGGCCGTGGCCCTCAGGGTTGCCTCACGGTGCGTCTTACCGCACGCCGTCACGAGCGTGTCGTCCGCGTAGCACGTGACGGCGACACCATCCAAGAGGGCACCACGAAGCACCCAGTCGTAGCCGATGTTCCATGAGAGTGGCCCTAACACCGACCGCTGCGGAACACCGCACGACATTTCACGTCTACCGAGACCGGTCCTACTTGGGTAGACGACGGCTCTCTCCGACAGATATGCCCCGACTATGCGGCAGAGGTAGAAAGATGTCCAAGGACACCGCCAACACCACTTCGCCCCGGGATACTGCTTCCTCCGCCAGAGCCCTCAAGCGCATGATCGCATCCACGATGGAGCGCCCCTGACGGAAACCGTACTGGTTGTCCGCCAGATCCGGCCCACTATGACGAGCATGTACCCTACCATGCCGAGTACAAACAAACTGGTATACATTAGTGTTGACAAAGGGTACACTCCATATTCTTTAAAATACAAAAATCAAGCGAATTTGTTTTGTATTTTTTCCACCATAAGGCTATACTTCGCCTCGTGGGGATTCCAAATAATGGCCATCGACTCAAGATGACTCCGAACAAGTGCGTTGTATTGTATTATCACGGCTATTGTGTTCTCAAAATCTTTACAATTTCTTAAAATGAACCTTAAATTTCTAAACGCCTTGCCGCAGATGTTTACAATGTGTTTACGAAACGTCAGCTCGGGAACCATTCCTGCCCCCAAGTCACGGGTACAACCACGGGTCACGGGTACCACAAGTCACGGGCATAACATTATAATAGCAATAGTCCCTTCTAGTGTTTGAAGTCGGTGCCAAGCCCGATTCACAATAAGTAATATTGGCCTGTGTCAGCTTCATATTAGCACAATCAACAATTAAGAATTCAATGAAATTCTAATGAAACAACGCAGATTTAGTTAATTAATAAAGATCAACTAGATCAATTACGTGAGCACCTACTTAATATAGCATTCAAAATAATAATATCATTGGAGATGAATATTGCAGCATGAAGACGGTTGGAGCTGTCGCGCTAAATTCTACCAAGCCTATCAAGCACCTATTTGGCTTGGCACCGACTTCAAACAGACTAGAAGGGATAGATCAAGACTATTGCTATTATAATGTTTACGGTTATATTGAGGGTACCTATTATAGTTTTTTACTTTGATTTGTAATTATTTTAAAATTTTTAGTGCTCTTTGTCACTATTGTTTGAAGTCGGTTCAACTTTTTCTTTAAAGGATTTATGTCGTAGTAACTTTTAGGCGTGCCTTTATTACATTAACAACCAATAACCAGTAGTAGTTTAAAATACTTTTAACTCAGAGTCAAACTACTTTTAACCACGTATATGAAGTAAATATCACTATTAACAAATTCCTTTATAGTCATGATATTTACTAAAAACTTTAAATCGGTAAAAAACTTCTTTTACCTACCGTCCAGTTGAACCTCTGTAGCCTGTACGTCTTTAATCAGCACCCACGCTAATAGAATCACAAAATTCCAATACTTTATATTTATTGGATCAATAGGAACAAGCAAGATTAATGTAAAGGTATTTATTATGAAAGTACATTATAATTACTTTAAGAAGACTTTAGGAATAAAACATAAGTCTCTATTCACGGAGTACGTCCATCGAACTGTCCGTATTGTCACTTTCTGCTCTAACTACTTCTCTTCGCAACTGCACCAGATGTTGCAAAAAATCTTTAGGTCTACGAACTGCAGAATTCCCTCCATCAGTTTTAACAGTTTCTTTATAATTTGCCAAATAATTTTCGTATCTTCTTACTGATTCTTCAATATTGTCGCATGATTCAAATAGATTTCTTTCAATACTTTGAAACTGGCATATCTTATTAGTCTTGTGCAACTTATTATTTACATGTGGTTTGCGACGATGACACTGCCTGACAGATATATTAACTGTTTCTTGACTATCACTGGAACTTACAGTATCATTGACATCTTCACTAGACTTATAACTATGTAAAGTTCTTTCTTTTTCTTCGTCACTTTCTTCGAACCTAAGAAAATCTTTTAAGACTTTTGCTTTAGCTGTTTCATATTTAATTTTTTTATAAACCGGTACATGGTTACTCCTTAGCATGTCTAAGGTATTATTCTCCTCTCCCTTCTTCCATATGAAAGAGCCTGTGTCTCCTTTACTAGATTCTGTTGAATCGGAATACGTACTCTCGTTTTTATGCGATAAAGAAAAATTATTATCAGAAACTGACACTTCCCTATTCTCATTATTAAAAATTACATTATTATAGTCACATTCTGTATCACATTCGAGTTTAGGCTCAGCAATAATGGCACTCGTCTGAGATGCACCAATATCTTTGAAAGTTACAAATCTTTTCGTATCTCTTTCTCTTAGTGGAGAGAGTACTATATTATAAGGATAAATGTTTTGATTGCGCCCAAGTATCATATTTTTAATCTCAGTTTGATTGACCTTTCTCACAGCATTGGGACTTACTCTTGGTAGGGATAAATCATCTGTATCAGGAAAGTCCTCGTTTTGTCTATTTAAAACTATTGGCTTAGAGCTACCTTCACTAGTAGGATTAATAACATCATTAGTGACATTTACTGACGCAACATTTAGGTCTTTCTCGTTGTCTATGTTTGGTTCATCAGTAGTACTATGGTTCGTTAATAAATCTGGAGTTGTTGCGATTATTGGTATTTTATTATTTGTAACAAAATTCGCTGAATTGTCATCAGAAGTTTGAGATTCTGAATCTACAGGATACGTATGAGATATGTTTATACTTATAACTGGAGGGGCAGCACACTCTTCAGTCAAATTACGAGCTTCATGCTTGCAAATACATGTTGTAGGATTAATTGTGTGTTTTTTTCTTCTGGGTAGTGGTAGAACTTGTGTTTGCGTACATCTTTCAGATTTAGCCACGATCTCAGTCATCATGAAAGAGCTCTTAGAAATAATGGGTTTCATTCCAGTAGACCTATCACTAAAGTTCAGAGCACCATTCGGCCCAACTGCTATCTCTTTACAACGCGGTGTCATAGGCACTGTTTCTGTTGCTGCATCCCGATGAAGAGTAAGAGAACGCTTTTCGCCTGGAATGTATGAGTGTAAGTCAGTTTGAACATCAATAGCTTGATCTTTCACACGAGTTACCATTCTTTTAGTCTGTGTATGTGCCGGTATGCCAATTCTTCTTCTATGTCTTATAGCTTTTTGACTTAAATCCATTAATCTTTGACGTGCATTGGTACAAATCTTTAGTTCACTAAGAGGTTCCACAATTTTTTTGTCAACAATTGACTCTACTTTCGAAACAGCACTCTCTTCTTTCTTTTTAAGTTTCGTGTACAATCTTTCAGTAACAGAGGCAACAATTTCTGCCCTTTGGTTGTCATGAAGAATGGTAATCGGGGAAACTTTTTGTTTTTCTGCTTTAGGCAAATGACCTATTTGTAATTCACTGTGGCTTGGCAAATTATTGGTCAAATTTTGGTTACAGATTAGATCTGAAGTCTCAGCAATGGCTAAAACTTCTTGGGATCTATACTGTCTTTTTTTATGTCTAAGAGGGGCAACCATTTTCAAATCATCGCCACTACTTGTTCTTTCTAATGTTGCTCCAAATAACTTATCCATTTCTTCATTTATTTCGTTAGTAATGTTTACATTTTTATCCATTGTATTTATTACATCTGAACTACCGCTGGCAACTGACGATGCCGTTGATTCTGAGTTTGCGTCAACTTTCGGACGCATTATGTTCATAATATTGCCTATTTTTGCAACTTTAGTTAGAACATTGTCTTCGGAATTATTTTCACATACTTTCCAATGTTGTTCGTCAAACGTTATCTTTCCTGTTTCAGGAATCTGTAACAATGAATTGAAATATTATATGAGGTGTCGTAACTTAATTAGATTTTTGTAATCTATATATACCTATAAAAGAAAAAACTAACAGACTGGTTCACTGACTGATCGATCAACGCACAGCTGAAACCGCTGCGCCTAGAAGCATGAAATTTTGGACAAATATTGCTTAGGTGACCAGGGTGTGCACTAAGAAAGAATTGTTTTAAAATTCCAACACCTGGGGATGCATTATAGGGGTTGAAAATTTATATGAAACTTCGTTATTTTTGGTAGTAGCGTTTTCAAGCTCACAGTAAATACTCTTTATTAAACGTATTGACACATTTTTGAAAACCGCCCTTAAAAAGGGATGCAAGTTAGTATGGGAAACTATATTTATTTAACTTATCGATTACAAACTCTCAGTATTAATTATTTTTCTTTATCAAACTACATATTTTTAATCTTTCAAAACGTAAGTACGTTTGTTACTCAATAATGTTTTTATAGTACTGATAAGTATTGATTCTATTTGTCTGCTTTTTTAACCGACTTCAAAAAAGGAGGAGGTTCTCAACTCGTCAGAATCTTTTTTTTACGTTAGCGACTCCTTCTTCTTTACCAAATTTATATCAGGTATAAGGCCTACCTGGTAACTACTAGTATGAAGAATATTACATACGTATCGAATGTGGTTTCTAGTGAGTTCAGATATCAACTGATTAAACTGCGCCTGTAGAGCCGCTCTTGAAGCTATGTTAGTGTTGGTGTTAGTGGCACGTGGAGTCGGTAACTGTCGAGCTCTTGCAGCCCACCGAAGAGTTGACGCTGACTCACCGTAGCATGCGGCACTCGGTGACAGGGCTGTGTATATAAGTTAAACAAGTACAAAAATAATTTTAAATGGAGAGGCCCCTTAAGGAAACTCTTGTATATCAGCAGAAGTATAAAATTGTCAATCACGGTAATAGGTGCTTAGGACAGAAGAACTGGTTCTGCGTAACAAAACAATGTGACAAACATAAAAGTGTTTTCAGACTGATTTGTAAAAGAATACGCCTTTTGTTTTATAAATCAGTCTGAAACACTTTTTTTCTTAATATTAACAAATGTTACCTTGTAATTTAAACAGATAAAAGGTATTTGACATGTAATATAATGATATTAGAAATCCTGCAGAATTTAGAATTATCTAACTGCAGAGCTTTTGTCCTAAGCCTAATACGTAACAATACTTTTAAAACCAGCGGGTTATCTGAGAAGGTAGATTAGAATGTGTTACTACCGTCGCTCATGGTTGCCAGACTTTAAGTTTCCCCCCAAAACTCCCTAGCTCCCTAGAGGAGGGGTCTGGCTCAGCACACGTTGGCAACTTGCCCGGCTTGGGCGCCGCAGCGCTGGGTTCTGTCGGGGGTATCTCTCGCTTCTGGCCGTCATACGCTCCATGGCCGTTAGTGACAGATGTTTCACCGCGGTCGCATCCGCCTCCTTCTGCGAAGACGTCATCTCGCAGAAGGAGACGACGGGGAAGGCCCGGGAGGACTACCTCCACTCGGACTCAATCCGTCGCCGGCGAACCGGACGGCGGAGGCGCGTTTACCACCGCCTCATACCGCGGTGAGTGTGTCCGTGGGTGGACGGGACGGGTTTTCCCCTCCATCCGCCATAACGTCCAGCCGCAAGGAGGCTACTTCCGCGTGTGCCGGACGTCGTCTAAATAGAGAATGTACCCGAAGGTGGTGCCCGGACCATTGCGCGCTGGCGCTATGTCTTAATAACAGCAGTACCTGGATCCCTCCTATTACAGGCGCAGAGTGTGGTTTTAGTCGGTCCGATTCCGACACACCACCCCGCCGCAAACCCCGGTGGGGGGACGGCCCGTGGGGGTCTTTGAAAAGCGACAAAAAAAATCTTAACACTGGTTTTCTGTAAGGCCGTGGTGTCACTGCGGTCGAAAAGCCCCATTTGTGTTAAAGCTTGGCTCTGCAAGGGCTCTGTTTGGTTCTGAGTTTATTTACAAGAATGTAAGTCATTATCATTTACTTTATCTCAGCCGAAAGACGTCCTGGCTGGACATACGCCTCCCCAAAGGTTCGCCACAATAACCGGTCCTGTCCGGCACGCATCCAATATATTCCCGCGACCTTCACTAGGTCGTCGGACCACCCTGTGGGGAACCAACCCACGCTGCGTTTTCGAGCTAATCAGCATCGGCTCATCATCTACTTACTGGCTATAATAAAAGTGTTGGCTCCGCCCGTGAAGCAGTCTTTCAAAAGCCAAGTGAGAGCCGAGTCACGATATGGAACGAACTTCCCTCGCCCCAGACCTCCATTCACTGTAAGACAATAAAAAAATAATATAAATAATAACTTCACACATCTCACACAAAACCGCCTAATCCAAAAAACAGGTAGAGCCAGTACATGATATTACCAGACTGCTGTTAAACATACATATAAATTTCCAATTACTTACATACATGCATTATTATAGATAAATTACATAAATGATAGAGCTCATCTCACAATTATTTGTCCTGGGTGGGACTCGAACCAACTAGTTTGTCTCAGCAGTCAGGGTTACTAAGTACACAGGCCTATGAAACAAACGCGATTATGGTGATCACATCCAAAACCATCTTGTAATTGTGGTGTTTGAGGATAATAAAAATTTAAAGTGTGTATGAGTCCACAAGTATAAAATCAATGAATAATAATTTATCTCCCCTTCTAGGTAAACAAAGACACTTGGATTAAACTATCTTAGCAGGTAGAACAAAGTATACTAAAGCTTATGTAATTAGGTACTTATTTTCCGTAACACGTTAGTTAACAGCGAAAACGATCTTCCACATTGCAAAAGCATAATATGCTGGAGATCACGAGTATACCCTAACCACATTGTAATAAAATTTTAATAATTCGAATAAGTTAACTACTCTCTAATTACTAGGGCCCGGATAAATATGTTTTAAAACATACAAAATATGTACATATAGGAACCAAAAAATAGAAAATATGGAAAAAATATGGAGTATAAAATAACAATACCTTTCAATTTAAACTTTGTTTATTTTGAATAATAATTTACTATAGTAACAGTTATATTAAAAAGAAAGCTGAAAAACGATGTAATTCAACAAAAATGAATAGTTTTAATTTTACTTTTTTTATATTGGTTGCAGTACGCAATAACATGTTTCTTTAAATTTTTAATATTAAAATTCTGACGATTAGGTCTAAATATAGCCTATATAGGCTAAATGATCTCTCCATGTCACATGATGTGTCTGGAGTATATTTAAACATGCATAATTCTAGGAGTATGTAAGCCACGTCTGCAGTGCCCTCAAAACTACCGTATAGCATTTTATTATTTTTTTCAGTTTATCAAATCCTTTACTTTTGTCCAAAACATACTTTAGTTTTTGTTTTGACACTTCAGCAATACAGTGGCGAGAACGCAGTACTTATTATACTTATTTTTATGAAGTACCTAACTCTGATGATTGTGATAGTTTTTTGTAAAATGTGGATTTAACCTTGAAATATGGAAAAATATGCAAATAAAAATTAGTTTTTCACGATCCAAATACGGCATTTGTTGTAGAGATAAATTTCACAACGAAAATCGTGTAAATTAAAAATATGTATTTATATATTAATCCGGGCCCTACTAATTGCTATAAAAGTTCATACAAATATTATAAGATTTGTAAACATGGATAGTATGGATATAACACGTACACAAAAAGGTTGTGTGTGTTTCTAAATGATTGACGCATTTGTTGACATGCAATAAGGTAGTTAACCCACGGAGCAACGAGGTTAGCCCTACACAGCTATGGTTTTCATTCATCTTCCCCATTATGATTGTGTGTTAGTTAAACACCTACTAAGTAATTTAATAAAAAAATGAAATTATTTTTTTATCTATTAATTACTTGTTTGATTGTCATATCACAGAATTCGCCTATATGATGAATTGTGATAAACTTTAGTCTTCGTTTGTCAATTTTCACCCTTAGTGGAGGAAATTCGTTTTACTTGATTAGGAGGGTAAATATTCTTTCTTTTTAATTCTTTAGGTTTCTGCGTCATTCACGCAGTGCATAAATTAAATTCACCGTTGGTAATTGTTCTACATTACTTAATTATTTAAATCAAGCACATGACATAATAACAATAATTGAAATACTTAATAAATGTTTTGAAAAGAGCATTTACACACACGGTCACGCTAGCTCAAATATTTTATAGCTTATTTTCAATTCATATTTAATTTTTTCAAATATTACTATGTTGCGACTAATGACAAATAATTAAAAAGAGCGAAGAATCACCAAAAAGAAGTTTACAAATCGGTTATATATATGATAAAGTTCTCAGGTAACAAAAAAAACATAGAACCGACGTAAAAATTTCAAAATTCTTGAAGCTAATACTTGGTATAAAGCTGCTTGGGCCTTGCAATGAAACTAATATTCTTCATCAAAAAAGATTTACTTACCAAGAGCAGATATAACGTTACTAAGCGCTACCAAAGATTTGTTTATATTAGCGCCTTCTTTCTGTCTACCGCCGCCACAGCCCTCCCAGCTTGCCTTCTCACTGAATAAAAAAAACAAAACTAACTAAAGAACTTTCCATTGTACTCATTAAAATATTTTTATAAACTCTTTTCAGCTCCCTCTCTGTATCTTCCCAAAGCCCATGTTTGCTATATTTTGGTAACCATGTACCAAAACATTGTGTACATGGGCTTTTTCTTTAAGCCTTTAAGTAAGTATCAGTTTCTCATGGTTCTCATGATTTTGTCATATAACATTTAGGCTTAAACCTAACCTTTAACCTCCTTTCTAAGGAGAGGCTTATGTCCAGCAGTGGACTATTAAAGGCTGTTGATGATGTTGATGTAGGCTTATTTTTATTTCTAACTTATTTGAGTGTCACAATCCGTAGCTTAGGATTAATTATTTCATCATACAACGCTGTTAAATCGTCTTTAAACATATTAACCTTCGAACGTCAGTTACGACGAAAAATGCCTAACTCAGTGCTGCAAGCGTTAACCTCTCACCTGCCGGCCGTATCAGTTAAATCCAAACTAAACAGCCTTTGCCGCTAAAGTTCGCGTACATCTAAATTAATTTAAACCGTATACAATACGTTATAGAGACAAGAAGGTCGTGCCTCATAATCATAAAGGTTAACTTAAAACAAATCACGAGGACACGCAATCGCTTACTAAAGTCGTTCTTTTTCCACTTTTCTTTGCCCAATCAAACTTTTCCTGTCATTTGAAGGAAGTGGACGTGGCAAAGCCCCGACGCTATGACCAGAAATGAGATCGATTTCATCATGACGGATAGAAAGCACATATTCAGAGACGTCTCAGTGATCAATAGGTTTAATACCGGTAGTGATCACCGACTTGTCCGGGGCTCTCTGAATATCAACTTTAAGGCGGAACGTGTCTGTTTGATGAAATCCAGGCTCCGACCAACTTGGCTCCAAGCCATGACAGGATCTGAAACGTTCCAGTCAAAACTGGAAAACCGATTCGCTGCCGTGGAAACCACAATCGACGTAAACCAGAACCTCAAAAATGTGGTTCAGATCCTCAGGGAAGAAGGTATGAGATTTTGTGAAATGCAGCGTAAGGGCAGGAAGTCGAAGCTTTCAGAAAGGACCCTAGGGCTGATGAAGAAACGACGTGAAAACCCACCTGTCACTTTGTCGGCAAAGCGGACTCTAAACCGAGAGATCAGTAAACTCGTACGACACGACCTCCGGTGCTCCAATACTCTTTCAATTGAAAGAGCGATCGAGCAAAATCGGGGGTCAAAAGTGTTCGTACAATCTCTTGGAAGAAGCCACCTGACAAAGTTGACTACAGAAAGTGGAGAAGTCGTTGCTTCGAAGCCGGCAGTCCTTTTGGAAGTGGAAAGCTTCTATGGCCGGTTATACGCTTCGCATGCATCTCGACCTGATCCCGAAAATGAGGACTCTAGAGCCACATTAACACGTCACTACACCGAAGACCTGCCAGAAGTTAGCATTGACGAAATCGAGATGGCTCTTGGACAGCTGAAAAATGGAAAAGCACCTGGAGAGGATGGCGTTACAACAGAGCTGCTGAAGGCCGGGGGTAAACCCGTACTAAGGGAGCTCCAAAAGCTCTTCAACGCTGTCCTGTTTGAAGGGAGAACTCCAGAAGCGTGGAGTAGGAGTGTGGTCGTCTTGTTCTTCAAAAAGGGTGACAAGACCAGGTTGAAGAACTATCGACCCATATCCCTTCTAAGCCACGTCTACAAGCTGTTTTCGAGAGTCATCACGAACCGTCTTGCGCAAAGACTCGACGAATTCCAACCACCGGAGCAAGCTGGGTTTCGGAGCGGATATGGCACCATAGACCACATCCACACAGTGCGGCAGATTATACAGAAGACCGAAGAATATAATCAGCCCCTGTGTCTAGCATTCGTGGACTATGAGAAAGCCTTTGACTCGATCGAGATCTGGTCTGTTCTGGAGTCCCTGCAGCGTTGCCAAGTAGATTGGCGATACATCCAAGTGATGAGATGTCTCTACGAAGCCGCCACCATGTCCGTCCAAGTACAGAATCAGCAAACAAGGCCCGTACCATTGCATCGAGGAGTGAGACAAGGGGACGTTATTTCCCCGAAATTGTTCACAAATGCAATGGAGGACATGTTCAAGACGCTGCACTGGAAAGGGCGTGGCATCAATATCAATGGCGAATACATCTCTCACTTGCGATTTGCAGATGACATCGTCATCATGGCAGAGACGTTGCAGGACCTACAGCAAATGCTGAATGACTTAGCTGACACTTCTGTACGCATCGGCCTACGGATGAACTTGGATAAAACCAAGGTCATGTTCAACAAACATGTACTACCGGAACCGATTGCGGTACACGGTGCCGTTCTCGAAGTTGTTCAAAATTATGTGTACCTCGGGCAGACATTGCAGTTAGGTAGAAACAATTTCGAGGACGAGGTGAACAGAAGAATTCGGTTGGGTTGGGCAGCGTTTGGGAAGCTACGTCGAGTCTTCTCATCGTCGATCCCACAGTGCCTTAAGACGAAAGTCTTTAATGAGTGCGTCCTACCCGTCATGACATACGGAGCTGAAACGTGGACACTTACGGTACGTCTGGTCCACAAGTTCAAAGTCGCTCAACGTGCTATGGAAAGGGCTATGCTCGGCGTTTCTCTAAGGGATCGCATCAGAAATGAGGTGATCCGGCAGAGAACTAAGGTCACCGACATAGCGTACCGGATCAGCAAGTTGAAGTGGCAGTGGGCTGGCCATATTAGCCGCAGAACCGATAACCGTTGGGGAAAACGAGTTCTTGAGTGGAGACCGCGTCTCGGCAAACGTAGTGTAGGACGCCCACAGGCCAGGTGGAGTGACGATTTGCGCAAGATGGCTGGCAGGAGCTGGATGCGAGAAGCCCAAAATCGATCTAAGTGGCGTGCAATGGGAGAGGCCTATGTCCAGCAGTGGACTGCGATAGGCTGATGATGATGATGTCATTTGAAGTGAAAAATTGTCTCAGAATCGATTCGTGTCTTCTGCCAATTTTTTAATACCAATAAAACTACGAATTCAGAAGACCATGTATGTTTTTCACATTGCAAAAAACACTATTTTATTTATTTTATTCTTAATGCACTAGTATGAGTTGTACAATAGAGGACTTAACGCCAACCTTTCTAGATATGGTCCAATACTTGAAGAAACGATGAACTAAACCACATAAGCACCATAACGGCTCTTACTATCTCTCATTGCTTAGATCGTCATTTGTCGACTAACCTATGACTCAAAATAAAAAGATATTAATATACAGAAGAATACATTTAGTATACTACCTTCCTGCAAGATCAGCAAGATGCAGCGTAGCATGAGGGGTGGCTATTTCGAGAAGCGCATGTGATCGTGATGAGGTGCTGTTGCGTTTAGTAGCTGCTGTTCGACGTCGTTTAACTCCTTCCGCTACCAAGGATAGCAGAGATTCTGGGTTGTGAACGGCCACACGTCGAAGATCTGATACAATAAGGAAAATAATAATTACATTTTATTTTACTTATACTAAAATATCTAATAAGATACAAATATTAAACTAAACAATTGAAATTGATAACATTCCTTCTTATATAGAAATACAAAAATATTATGCCATCATCATCATCATCAACACACCTTTGCACCTACTAAATAAAAGACACCTAAGTACATTCTACACAATAAGATAAATATTGTTTCTTCTACTTACTCTGCACATAAGTTCCTCTAAGTGGATGTTCACGCACGCGAAGGTCCTTCCACGCGTTGCCTTTGCGTCGTGGTAGGGAATGACAAGGAGGCAACGCCGCCTCCGCACACAAAAGATCGTGAACACGCTCGTTGTATATCTCCAGGAAACTATCAACAAAACAATAATATGTACCTCCACAAATCAATTCGGACCTCACTTTCAGAATTGGATGTTGCAGTGGGCTATGAAGAGAGATTAACTAATTAATAATTTAATTTGTTTGCTTTTTTTTACTGGCCTGTTAGTCTAGTGTTTAGTGACCCTAACTACTACGCCAGCGGTCGTGGGTTCGATTCCCACCCAGGACAAATAATTGTGTGATGAATACGGTCATTTGTACAATGTCTGGGTGTACTTCATTTATAATATGTATGTATTTAGAAATATACAAGTATGTTTATCAGTAGTCTGGTTACCATAGTACAGGCTCTGCCTAGTTTGGGATCAGACGGCCGTGTGTGAAATGTGTGAAAATATTATTATTATAATTAACTCATATTCCACAAAAGATCAATCACAATATTTTTTTCTGTTACTATTTCAGCGTGTGTTTTATTAATTTATGTACATGTACGTGTCTTTACTTAACTTGTTTCAGTGCAAGATGTGTCTAGTAAATATACATACGAGTATAAAAGTACAAAATCCTTGAGGTCTAGTAGGTAACTGTTTTGTTTTGGGAGAGCTGGACCGAGTCGTGCGGCGACTGGCTTCCCGCAACACTGCGCCCGGACCTGATGGTATTCCAGGTCGGGCGCTGGTGATAGCTCTGTCGGTATTGGGGGACAAACTGAGGCGGATTTTCACAGATTGTCTTAGCCTCGGTGTGTTCCCCCTCGGCTGGAAAGAAGCGAGACTGGTGCTCTTGAAAAAGGAAGGTAGAACTGCAGATTCTCCCTCTGCGTTCCGACCGATTTGCCTGCTGAACGAGTCGGGGAAACTCTTTGAGAGGATTATCTCCGATCGTATCCGACTGCCAGTTTGGATTCCGACGGGGGCGTTCGACAGTGGACGCTATCAGGTGCGTTCGCTCCATGTCGGAGTCGGCAGTCCGATCAGGGGGGGTGGCTTTGGCGGTTAGCCTTGATATTTTTTATTTTATTTTATTTATACTTCCTGCAAATACATTGCATAAGGCGGACTTAATGCCATAGGCATTTTCTCCCAGTCAACCTTGGGGTGATGCAGAGATTTGTGTATGGCAGCTATATAAAAAGGTAAATTATTTAAATTGTAGTCGGTTGCAAGATGGATACATATATAAATGCAAATATCATTTATACGTACTATATAATACTATAAATATAAAAAAAAAAACATAAACATACACACATACATTCATACATACATGCCTGCGTTGATGAACACACAAGGGGTTATTTTGATGACTCCGTCAACAAGTCTCCATAAAGCTTGCGTACTCTGGTCTTAAAGGTTGTTCGGTTGGTGGATGTCCTGATCTCTAGGGGAAGGGCGTTCCAAAGGTTTACCGCTTGGACAGTAAAGGAAGAATGTATGATACGGGAGCTATGTGAAGGACAAAGAAGGAGGAAATTATCAGCGGAGCGAAGGCTTCTGTCATGGTTGGAGCAGAGATATTTCAGGTGGGATGTTAAGTAAGTAGGTGAGGGTAGGTCTAATTTATTGAGCAGATACCTCATGCCTCCGGGTGGGTGACGCTGAAGTCCAGGTGGGCCGGTACATGAAGTACTTAGGCCTCATCCTGGACAGTCGGTGGAGCTTCGAAGAGCATTTCGTGCGATTAGTCCCCTGAGTGCGCGGGGTAGCGGGTGCACTGCATCGCCTGCTGCCCAATCTCGGGGGACCACGGGAAGAAGTTCGCCGTCTCTATATGGGGGTCATGCGATCCATGGTCCTCTATGGGGCGCCCGTCTGGTCTAATGACTTGGCGGGTGCCTCCCGCTGCAAGGCTCTACTCAGAAGCCTACAGCGGTTGATGGCCATACGGGTCGTACGGGGTTATCGTACCATCTCGTTTGAGGCGGCGACGGTCCTGGCTCGATATCCACCCTTCGACATTCTGGCCGACATGGACGCGATGGTCTATGACCAAGTCCGTTCTGTCGGTCGGAATGGTGAGGAGGCCGCGCCGGATCATGAGCCCGGAATGCTACGGCGGAACGCGCATACGCAGGCTTTGCGAGCGTGGCAGGCACGGCTTGTAATCCAGGGCTGTGCTAGCCAACGCGCCGTCGGAGCCGTTCTGCCGAGCTTTGAAGCGTGGGTAGGGAGGAACGACTGTGTCACCTACCGATTGACTCAGATGCTTACCGGGCACGGTTGCTTCGGTGAGTATCTGAATCGAATTGGACGGGAGGCCACGGCACGATGCCACCATTGCGGGTCCGACCGGGACTCCGCCCAGCACACGCTGGAGGACTGCCCTGCATGGGAGTCCGAACTTCGAGTCTTGGTCGGACAGATCGGACGAAACCTGTCACCGCCAGCATTAATCGCGGCAATGCTGGCGAGTGGCGAGGGATGGGCAGCCGCGGTCTCCTTCTGCGAGGACGTTATGCTCCAAAAGGAGGCCGCAGAGCGGGATCGGGAGAGGGCCGATCCCGCTCGAAGGAGGCGGCGAAGGAGACGCGGCAGAGGTCGCTAACTCCCCAATCGCCGCCTAAGGGTCACTGCGGCCACATCTTGGGGCGATGTGACCGCTGTAAACGACCCGAGACGGATGACACTCCGGTGCGGCCGGGGGGGTGTCGTCTAAGGCGGGACGCCGTTGCGCCTTTTACTCTGTAGAGCAGTGAGAGGCGCGATAGCGTCCTGCCCCAGGGTGACTACGATCACTCCGGGATGTGCCTCAGACATGAGGTACGGCAGAGAGGACTCCAGAAGTCGCCGATGCGTTCCTGGAGCTCCTCCCGACTGCCGAGGAAGGCCACGGGGTTTAGTGGGTAGACCGGTTCTCCGGGAGTCCCACACACGCCCTGCGTTTCCCCAACGGAGGGTATGGTGCGAAAAGCATTCCCCGCGTAAAAAAAAAAAAAAAAAGGTAACTGTTTTGTATAATTAAACACAGGCAGTAAATTTGGTAACACAATGAACCACAGTTTTGTAATAAACTGTGGTTTAATAAGTTACAGGCGCTATTTCGAAAAACAAGTTAACACTTATATTTTATTTATACAATTACAGTTTTTGTTGAATAACATTAAGCCTGTGAAATACTTAATCTTGTGTCTAGCTTAGAGTTGAATTTTGTGCTTATTTTTGTTATCTGTTAACTATATTTGGACACCATCTGTTATTACTGCATTCGCATAAGAATAAACACACCATGTTTATGTAGTGTTGTGGTTACAAAGAGGGACTACAAACCTTGACCACATAACATAAGCAGTCTGTAAATATACCATACAGTTGCTTGTATAGCGACCTCTTTTCTTGTATATATGTAATTAATCAAGCGATCTAACCATAGTTAACTGTTGCTAATTTACCTACTAGTAGAATAAATACTCGTAATTTCAAATTATTTCTATATGTAACTGCTCTGCCATGCTTGCCCACAAACAAGCATAGCTGAAAAGGTTTAAGAAATATTCAAATTGAACTTTTAACTCTTCTTATACCTACTCAACATTTTCTACTTTTTTGCAAAGAGAAGGGAACAGGATATATTGTTTTTAGATTTTAAGCTAGCTAGCTAGAACTAAGTGCTTTTTACTTAATTGCGCCTAAAAAAAATATTATCAAGGTGTTTCTGTTATTAAAATTGTCACAAGTCCAAATGTGAAGAAAACTTGCGTGCCCCTGTTAACAGCGTTCAGTCACGATTTTACTAATTACGTTCTAATGAATCATCCTACAATTTAACCGCAACATATTTTATGTTTCGTTTTAACTATGTAATAAAGTAATTTGAAAGTATAGTCTCAAAATTAATCTGTAATTTTTAGCTTCAATTATGAAAGAATCTCGTTGTCTGATCTTTTTGAAGGGTGATCACGGCGCTTTATTCCTCCACAATTTTTTAAATAAAAAAGATCTGATTAACAATTATACTTATAAGTAATTGTATACACAAACAGTAGTTACCGACACTCAATTTGGATATACGTTGTCTATATGATTGTATGTTTCTGACGTACCAGTGACACATACATACCTTTTTTATTGACGGGGTGGAAAATATATTCAGATCTCCGGTGTATCTACTAAAAACCACCCTGACAGGCGGGCTCAGGCGCCCTACTCCGAAGATGACCCGGGCCATGTTATATCCTAGAAAAGCCGCGAGTTTTCCCTTTCCTATCGGCCCAATCATTATATGTTTTGCGGCCCGATAGCATTTTTGCGATCAGGCCGCCATCCTATCGCCTACCGCAGCAGTTAATCTGTCACCAGAAGTCCCCACTCTCTGACCGCCTGCGGCCCCGTTGACGGCAGGTATCGCCGCCGACGATATCTACGCTCGGGATCGGGATGATAAATGTAATTAGAGATCTTCAGAACTATTTTCATTTACAAACAAAGCGTTGACATTTTTTTTTAGAAACTAGCTTTCACCAACAACTTCTCTCTCGTAAAAGTATTTCTATTTCCAAAGAACATTTTTTCTGTATAAAACGCTCCCTGTTTTTCCCTGTATCGCGGGCAACATGTACACATTTGAAAATGATCGGATAAACGGTACGGCAGCGCTGTATACGAATGAACAAATATTACTTTGTAAGATATTTGAAGCATTTTATTTTGACATTTGAAATAATTTATTATGAAGAACAAACTTGTTGAAAAACTTAAGCAAAACATATCAATTCCTAAATAAGTTAAATGAATGTTGCCGGACTAACACCAACTGTCTTCACTAGCGTCCTTTCTTGTTCTTTTTACAAGAGCCAACTATCTTTTTGCAGTTGTGAGAGTCTTTCTCAAAACTGCAAAAAGATAATTGGCTGAGGATCGGTATTCTGCTAGTCTTAGTAATACTTTACTATGAGAATACTTATGACTTTATGTCATTTGTGAGATCGTGAGTCAACGGAACTGAATTTTGAACATTGAACTAATATTTACTTACTTACATTGAACTATTTATTACTAGTATAAGTCAATGATTTGGAACAAATTTTTA